ATGGGCCAGCAACAACAGTCACACCCACATACGAACGAAGAGACAGAACGTGGACATCGAACTCATTCGCGTTCTACGTCCCTTCGCCGGATATCATCGACATACACGCATCAAGTTCCTATAGCTACTGTCGAATATGATGCTGAAGGTGCAATTGATCCGGATACGGATATAGAACGGCTAGGCAGACTACGACCGCCAGTATTTAAAAACTGGGCTTCCGAGGCTGCCTTTTGCTTTTCCATTGTAATGTCCCAAGTGTTGACGGTACGGCGATATCATATCCCACCCTTGACCAATAGTCATGAACTAGACTAACAACATACAAAGGAATATTTCATTTCTGGGTTTAACGTCATAATACCCAGGCTGGTGGATGAGTTTGATATCCCAGATGCCTCTGCTGTCTGGCCGGCCAGTGCCTTTCCGCTTGTTGTGTCCTCCACTCTCCTTATCTCCGGCCGTTTGGCAGATATGGTGGGTGGCTATTATATGTACGTCGGAGGCATGGGATGGCTGTGCATTTGGTCGGTCATCGCCAGCTTTTCCAATAACCGCATCATGCTCATATTATGTCGAGCACTGCAAGGCCTTGGCCCTGCTGCCTATCTGCCATCCGGAATGATGCTCTTATCAATCGTGTACCGTCCCGGACCGCGAAAGAACCTAGTTTTTAGCCTCTACGGAACCTGTGCCGTGTTTGGATTCTTCATCGGTATCTTCTGTTCAGGACTGGCTGCCCAATATCTCGCATGGCAGTGGTATTTCCGCATCGGCGCCATTCTCGCAGCTATCACTACTGTCAGCTCATTTTTCTTCATACCCTCGGATGCGGCCGAGAAACGCAAGCAGGGAGTCAAAATGGACTACCTGGGCTCGACCCTTATTGTGGTTGGCCTCACCCTCTTTGTCCTTGCGATCACGGACAGCGCACATGCATCTCAAGGATGGAAGACACCCTATGTCTACGTCTCCTTCATACTTGGCTGTTTATTCTTGGCCGGGGCTTTTTATGTGGAGGGATGGGTCGCAGAGTGGCCCTTGCTGCCATTCGACTTGTTTGATGCGCCCTATATGAAGGCGATGGTACTGGCACTGCTCTTCTTTTACGGGTGTTTGGGAGTATTCTTACTCTATGGGACTCTATAGTAAGTGTTCTCCATGTCACTATAATATAGCTCCATGTCTGACTAACAATCTTCCTAGCATGGTGCACATCATGGGCGCTACATCATTACAAGTTGTTGCCTGGTGTACTCCGATGGTAGTAGGAGGCTTTGCTTTCCCCATGATGGTCGGAATATGTCTACACCTGGTCTCTGGAACTGTTCTACTTATTATTTCCGGAATAGGCTGGATAATGGCCGGCCTCCTGTTCGCAATAATGCCTGATGGTGCAAGCTACTGGGCTTACGCTTTTCCGGCAATGATTGGGGCCACACTAGGCATCGATGTGACATTTAACATTACCAACATCTTCATCACCACGAGCCAACCAAAGCATCGTCAAGGTCTAGCCGGTGCTTTGATAAACTCCGTCTTATTCCTAAGTATCGCGGTTCTACTTGGCTTCGCCGATGTTGCCCAGGTGGCCACGCTGGACCAAGGCAGGAAACACAGTTACCGTGTTGTATTCTGGTTCAATACTGCATGTGCAAGCGTTGCACTGCTGATCATTGTTCTTTTTGTCAGAGTCAATCCTGCAGCAAGCGATCTGACGGTCGACGAAAAGAAGAGACAGCACGAGTTAAGCCAGAGACCGCTAAATGATCCAGAAACTCCCCCTCGAGGTGCAGGAGGGAATAGGTCTACCACATCTGAATCCGAAAATCCATCTCCGTCATAATAGAAAAGGAGGGAAATGGCTATCTTTTTCTTGCCTAATTGAAATATACCCTAATTCAAAGTTCTACTTATTTCAAGAATCTTTGGAATATCTACCTTTCGAGTTACTTCCAAGCAGCCATTGACTCAACGTCCAAGTCCAAGTAGTGCCCTCTGATTTTCTTCCCGAAATGCTTGCTTGGATAGTAAAACATGGACGCTTTTGGTGTTGTGATTTCTACTATATGAAACCTTGTGCTCGCCATGCCAATTCGCAAATCTCCGCCAGGTCATCTTTGCTCAGAACGATATCTCGCTCGTTGGGCCCCCGTTTAGCTCTGCCAAAGATTTTTTCGAAGGGTATAGTCAAGCATTTGCTGACCCTCGTCACTCAAAGCTCATGGGTCACGATCACTGTCTCCATGACTGACCCAATTGGGTTGTAATCTCGCGTCCGAGGGCGAAACGGTGGCATATAGTGCTCCCATCGTTTGACTGTGATTCTTGGTGTCTGACGATCAAGTTTGACCGTAATCACAGCTTCGGTCCGTGATCCTTCTGCCTCAAGCCATCCTTGTGCGTCAATGGATAATATGCTTTCAGTCCTGAGAGTGTGAGGCGAGGGATTCGCCATGGTTTTAATAACGACAATTGTCTCTTGTATGTTTGCAGTAAAACATCGACTGATGTTGGACTCAAAGCCATGTAGATAGCAAGGAGACCTCGATGTTACTATTAGGAACAGGCTCTGGGAGTCGTCCCTATAACACCCCTTAGCCTGGGCTTCTATAACACGTTCAGTTGTTTTCATATTGGTATATGTGATCCGGGGTGTTCCATTGGGAAGCTCAATCAATATTCTTGAAGAAGCAGCTCGTTCGCGTTACCTGGGGGGGCCATTGTATTGTATGGCGGTAGGACGGATATTAGGTGTTATAGACAGGATATATTGTAATATGGTGAGAGACAGGCCATAGACTTCCAGTACTTCGGCCATGACGTCAAGCCAGAGAAAACTCCTTTCGATTCTTGGAAACCTTCTGTTGCTTGCCTAAGTTGATCTAGTGTCTAGTGTTGTTTGTATAGTCTTCGAGGTTGGTATAAATCCGGCTTCTTTGGATATCAGCCCTTTAGTTCTCCACAAAAGCGTTCTCCAGGTTGGCTAAGTTAACTAGTTAGCTAACTAGTTATTCACGCTAGTTAACTAACGAACTATTCACGTCATAATCCCCAAGCGTGAAGTCATGGGGTCTAAAGGATGATGGTACTTTTGTTTCCATATCCAGGACTCTGGGGGTTGTGAGGCCTTCAAGTATTATACCAAGGGGCATGCTGGAATGGAGGACATGGGCGATCAATGGTTGGTAGTTATTGAGTTGCAGCAGGAATGAAAAGTAGCCGATTTTGAGCCTCAATATGTTGCGGAGCTGTAACTAGTTAACTTAGTTAATTAACTGGGTATCCAACGTGCTTCCCGGGGATTAAGAGCCATTCTTGAGGTAGCGCGGCCTTAATATTAGACAATATCATGGCTGAGAATGGTATCTATGTAGTTAGGTGAAAAGTTGGTTTCCAATGGCCATAAACAAATCGCTCGAGATATGGATGGACGGAAACCCCGGCGTCCGACTTTGCCGCCGCTAACTAAATATTTCCAGGGATCTTGCTGCCAGCTAGTGAGCTCTGGAGGAAGATTGCGCACGAAGGATCCGGTAGTTAGCTTGCTGTTGCTGCCTGGCTGCTGGCGACCTATAAAGAGCTGTAACTGTCTTGGAGGAAGAACAATCATAAATCATCTTCTCACGAGCTGGTTATTTCTCTTCGACTTTCTTTCCTTCGACTTTTCATAACTAGTTAGTTAACTAGCTGTTAGCATTGGGTCAGTAGCTGTTTTAACTACTACTTCGACTAGGTACTTCGCCATGTCGAGCCCACCGCCGGCCGGTATGAGACTGTTAACTTGCCAGTAGACCAACTTACCAACGAGACATTGATACCATGGCCATCTCCAACTCATTACCGGTCTTGGTCGTTGCCAATCTCTTCGCGGCCATGTGCGTTGGGTTCGGTATCAACGCGATCCTGCGCCCTGAACACGGCGTGTCGTTCTTCGAGCTTGCTCCGCCCACCGTCGACGGTCCAGAGAAGACCCTTTTCAACAGCCTGATGGCCGTTTACGGAGCGAGAGATGTGTTTATGGGCGTGGCCATTTGGGCCGCCACGCTCACCGGGGAGCGAAAGGCGCTGGGTTGGATTTTGCTTGGTGTCAGCGCTGTAGCGTTTGCGGACGGTGCTATTTGTGCAGTGAACGGTGCTGGAGAGTGGAATCATTGGGGATATGCGCCTGTTGTCATGGTCGTGGGCCTGCTGGCCCTGGGCGTTTTGGACGGCAGCAAAGCGAAGACAGCTTGATTACAAGGAGCTGCTGGATATCTTGTCTAGGTTGATGTCGGGAGACAACTGCTGTTGATCTAGATGAACGGGTGTTTTATATTTCAAATAATAATTGACGATTTACATCCGCCCTGCCACCCTGCATCTGGGGTATGCCTATGCTATATATATAACAACACAACGCAAGTAACTCGACCAGGAGAGAGCGATATAAAAAAAAGAAAAAGAAAAATCCGAGAGTAGTGATGAGAGGAAGAGAAAGAGACACCAGCTGAAAAAAGGAAGAAACAAAATGATGATAACACTCAATGCAATATAAAGACGCCGGCGCGCCTGCACCCTTCAATACCAGAGATGTCGCGTACAACGCACATGAGCTAGAGCAGTTAAGCAAATGTAAGAAAGAGAAAAAGGGATAAGAATGGAAGAGGCAAGCTGACATTTTTTTAGGGGTTTAGACATGCATCTCATCAGTGATGAACAAGTAGTAAATATCTGTGGTTAGCGCTGGGCCAAAACACTAAAGGGGCTATCAGACAGAGAGTGTGTATTTGCAAAAAAAACACACAAGGGAAAGAATATACCCGCATGGGCCGATGCGGCACGGAACAAAATAAGGCCCCTAACACCTTTGTATAAAACGCAATTCGAAATGTTCATTGGAGGATTCGTAGCACGTATGGGAACTGGTGGCCACGACTGGCCGGATGGTGGCTGTTGCCTGGTGATTGGTATGACGGTCGAGAAAAGGACGGGGACACATAAGTAGGGATGCTGCCGTGTCAGCTCTTATGGACATTGCTATCATCAACCAGATGGTTTTCATGATAGTCACCGTCATGGTGGAGAGTAACACTGTTGAAATCTTCGAAGGGGTCGGCGACTTCTCCCGACGGCGTGGCTAGTCCAGAGTCCATTGGTACGCCGGTCAAGTTGCTGGAGCCGCCGATATCAACACTGGCGCTTTCTTTGACGTTTCTGAAGTTGACTGTGTCGATTGCTCTGCCTTGATGTGGTATCATAGGAGGCTTCATATGTCTAATCAAGGCCCATTGAGTGGGTCTGAAGAAAGGATGGGTTTTGACATCGGAAGCACCAGCGCGGGCGCCGAGCCGACGGCACTCGTCCTTGATAAGAAGCTTGCGTATAAGTCCTTTACAGAGACTGCAAAGTGGAGTTAGAAAAATGCTGGAAGGGGGTAAAAGTCATAGTATATATAGAACCACTTACTTGGAAAGCTGCTGTGCGTTAGCATGCTCGGGGAACGGAACTTCGTCTCTTAAGATGTTTGCAAATGTTGCATTTCGGTTCTTGCCCTTGAACGGGGTTGTACCGTACAGCATCTCATAGATAAGGATGCCTAGTGTCCACCAGTCTACGGCGCTGGTATGACCGTTTCCTTTGATGACTTCGGGAGCAATGTATTCTTCAGTCCCAACAAAGGAATTTGTCCTGAAGTCGGCAATACATGACTTGGTATCGATTGTTGGTAGCGAGCTGGCGGAAGTTCCGTTGCGGCCAATAATCATAGTCGGCGCACCCCCTGGGCCGGATTGTTTTGAGAGATCAAAATCTGACAACATGATATGCCCAGACTGATGGAGAAGGATATCTGGATACATGTTAGTGAGGAATTCTTCAATAAAAGGGGAAGAGACGGCCTTCGTACTCTCTGGCTTGAGGTCACGGTAGATAAAGCCCATGAGATGAAGATACTCAAGAGCAGCAGTCACTTCAGCAGCATAAAACCGAGCATCATCTTCGGAGATGCATTTTCCAGGCCGTGTTTGAAGGGCTATTGGCTCAGTTAGTCGGGTTCCAGCTCAGGGACGGGAGGCCAAGTCGTACCTCTGAAGAATTCACCACCGCTGCAATATTCCATACAGAGGTAGAGATGTTCCTCCGACTGGAAAGAATGATAAAGAGTGACTATAAACGGGTGATTACTTGTAGCAAGTATCTCCTGCTCTGCAAGCGCACGTTTTATCTTGTTCCTCTTGATCATCTCCTTTTTACTCAACACTACAGGAGGTGTTAGTAAGACGTGCGGAATATACACGGGAAAATTGGTACATACCCTTCATGGCGTACAATCTTTGAGACTTCTTCTCCCTCACCAAATATACCTTACCAACGTCTCCCTTGCCGATCAACTTGATCTTATCAAAGCTTCCTGGGCCAACTTCTACATTGCGCACTTTTATTGAATTTGAACTATAGGTTCGTCTGTACCCAGCATTACTCCGTATTTGACCAGGTGCTGGAATAGGGCCGAGGGTGTCTGCGTCAGGGACGGTTAGATTTTGCGATGGTGGCTGCTCAACGAAGCCTAGTTTCGCAGTATCTCCCGCCTGTTCGACCAAGGGCTCCTTACCCAGCTCGGCCGTCCGAGGGCGTTCATCTGACTTCCCGGTTGCAAACAAGCCCTGCGCATTGGGTGCAGAGGCAACTCTCCTGAGTTTCCTTGCAAGCTCCTCTTTGTTGGCTGCAGTTGGCTGCTCTACACCAGGAGCTCCGTCTATATGTATTCCGGGAGTATCTGGAGGGGTTGAGGGAACACTGTCATCATTTCTATGTCTCAACGCCGGATATCCCTGATGCGCAAAGTATGGGTTTGCATGTGCAGTTGGCGAGACTCCATCGTCGTCCAGCGGGTTTCCCTCACTGGCAACGGTGGTTGACCGGTTCCGGCCGATGTGAGGGAGAAATCTGGACTGAAACTTGGACTCTTGCTTGGGTACAGCAAGGTTGGAGTTCTTGTTCTGCTGGGAGTTCTGCCCTGAACCCCCCTGGCTGTTCGAGTTGGTGGTCGACGACGAGCTGTTTATTCGAAAGAAATTCCGCAGTTTTGTCGGGAAATGCGAGGAATCGTTCGCGGGTTTCTCATGTTTCTCGTTCTTTTCCTGCTTCTTTCCGGTCAACGATATGCCGGGGAAATTCCGTTTCTCTGAGTTCGGATTCGCAGGGGCGGACGAGTTGAATAGCTGCGTCATAGCGACGGCTCTGCTTGCTTCCGGCGTGGTAGCGAATCTTGCGGAAGAGAACAGCTAGCGATTGGGGCCAGCAGGAGCGCTTATGAATGCCTGTCCGTCTCTTGAACCGCGATCACCGGCCAGTCGAAAGAAGAGCGTTGTATGATGCAAAGCGGACGAGCCTGGAGTCGGGAATGTCGACAATTGGCCAGGAGTGCAAGTGTCCTCTACTTTTCTTTTTCCGTCCGGTCAACGGAGAGCGAGGGCGGTCGCAGCGAGGAGCTAGGATGGACGAAGGGAGGCCGGGCAAAGAGTGGTGCTGGGGCAGCGACTCGGCACCATTGGCGTGGCCGCTGGTGAAACAAGCGGGCCACGGACTGGGAGGCGCAAGGATAGACGACTGGTCACCCGTCAGCAGCAAACGAGGGTGCCGGCCGGGGGTAGCGAGAGCGCGAAACAGGAGACACTTGGTGCAGCAGAGGTTGGATGCCGGCAGGCAAGCAAAGCAAGCAAGCAAACGTCGAAGGACGAAGTTGCAGCAAGGCGCTTCTCTTTTTGGCGAGGACGAGGTTGGCTGGGCTGCTTGGTCCAGTGACGCGGCTGCTTACTCATAACACTATCTGGACGTCGATGAAGAAGAAGAAGAAGAACAAGAAGAAGAATGATAATAATAAGGACGACACGACATCACAAGGCATCAGGGAGAAGGTGATATGTTGGTTGGTTGATAGCAGTCGACAGAGGCGGCGGCAGGGGATGATCACATTGACTAGTTAGTGTACTAACTAATGGTTAAGCTATCAACCATGGATACAGGTACCAGCTCCGACCCATAGCCTACATTTGCTAACCGGACTTCCTGCTGGACGACTGCCTGTGGGCTCTATGTTCGACCTGTATATGCATCCAGAGTGGCCTGCGTTCATGTTTATCACGAGTATGTGCATCTGGATGGCAGGATCCGGGTTTACATCTGATGGATGCATCCGTCAGGCGCAGGGAACAGTCACAAGCTAAGCCCTCCACGATGCTCACCTGGTATGGAGCAATTATTGAAAGTTAGCATAGGGTATTCTTCCTGCCCAGGCTCCTTACGATCAAGCACAACCACGCCCAAAAGAGCAGAACTTCGAGTAGGCCACTACTCCACCTATTTCGAGGGGGTTATTTCATAATCTGCATACTCTGCATGGCATTAATGTGTTGATCGTAGTCCAGATGGCCAGAATCCTGGCTGCGGGAGCTCATAGTCAGGTATAAGCTGGGTATCCCGAAGTCAAGTACAGCATATGTCAGTTGCAATATTGAGAACTTCCACCCAATAATCCCTAATAAGCGAAGTCTGATCTCCCTTAAGCTGAGAGTGGTATTTGATATGCTTATGCCGGCTTAAGCCAGTCATATAAATACTACTAGGGAGAACAACATCACCTGTAATTCCCTCTTTGAAAGAGATTGGTTGTCTCGATGTCTTCTCTAGGGAAACTAGAGACCAGGATTTTCTGGAATGGGAGGATGCTAGTTGTATTTATCGAAGGCTTCGTTTTCCATTCGAAACTTCTACAAAGGCATCAATATCAATGCCTATGCTCTGCTGTCAGAACGCGGTTGATGGCCTGGGTAATGCACTCAGGCGGCTAAGAGATGCATTGCTCGCGGTCATGATATTCACAGCCATGTTTGTAGGGCTACCAACTGCCAACTGCTTGTAATAACGGCTGCAATAGGTAGGTATCCCGTTTCATAAACGTTGGACATTTCCTTAAATATCCAACCCAAATTTTGAGGGAGATTCCGTTTGGGGGCCATTTGGTGCGCGAGTTCAAAATCCAGCACAGCAAAGGGCAGCGCTTAAGTGCGTAGTTAGAGGCCGGAGCCTATTAGTGTTAGTTAATGTTTGAGGAGCATGGAATTCCTTTAACCAAGAAGGCTAAGCATTGCAGGTGGTAGTCATAATAGGTGAATAGTGTCTTGGGGTGAAGTTAGCTAACTAGCTAACTAGTTAGCGCAGTCACCAAATCGAAACTCACGCCTTTCAGCCGAGCAGCAACGAGCCCTTGAAGACAAAACATCACCTCAACCGCCGGCAGCTGCAAGATGGACTACGATACGCCTGAGTCTGGCTTCTCTAACCCTCTCGTACGCGATAACCTGCTTCTCACTCCACTAGAGCAGGAGGTGCTGGACGAATACACGAAGCTGCTTGAGAATATGAACAAGGTATGCGTGCATTCTGGTGAAATCTTTGAAGGGCTGCTTTTGGCTGACGCCAGCGTATGTATAGCTCTCTACTTCATTGAACGATCTCGCGGTCCAGCCTTCATCTGATACTCTCGATGCTCTGCGGTCACTGGAAAGGAAAACCGCTACCGTTTATACCTTGCTGAAGGCGAGCGTGTACAGCATAGTTCTCCAACAGCAGATCTACAACGGCGGGGACGAGGGGCAGCCTGGAGACAACTAAGAGTTTCACAATGCAGTGGTATAGTCTGGGATGGTATAGGAAGCACCTAGGTTGCTGCTATATAGGGGCATTAAAGGAAGAAAGATTGGTGCATTGGCAAAGGGACGGATGGTGCTTTAGATTGTCCTGATGGGAGCTCGGAGCTTTTGGAGTTTGGAGTTTGACAGGGAAGGTATGTCTGCTACATGGCAAAGGTTGAAAAAATACATATATCAACATGAAATTGAACATGATACTCTTAAGATTATATAAATACACTCCATCCTATCCTGTAGTAATACATCAGGTATATCAGACCAAATGGTGACTCCTTACACCTTTCCGGCGTAATAAACCTTCCTTACATCGACAAGCTTCTTTCCTAGGGCCCGAGCAACCTCTTCCGGGTCCTTTTGGCTCATCAGCGCCTTATAGGCAGCCTTTGCGGTGTTCATAGGGTTTCTGGAACGAGAAACACGGGCAGCCAGATCCTTGATTCCGGCAAGACGGCACATTTCCCAAATCCGCTGGGAGCAACGAAGGCCAAACCCTGATATTGAAATTGTTGTTAGCAAAGAGACGGAACAGAGAACAATGAGAAATATAGTAACTGCTCTATTAAGTACGTACCTGGTGGTCGATTCATCAGGATCAATTCTGTTCCCGCAACTTTTCCCTTGACATCTCCGAATATTGTCCGCCTCTCGTATCTTGGGACTGGCTGCATACTGCGAATTGCTCGGTATTCTGCTTGCTCTCTGGCGGCGGGTGCTTCCTCGGATTTTCCTTCCCCAATTCCAAGCAAACCATTCTTGTTACCTGCAACAACGAGAACGTAGGCCTTTTGAATTTTGCCTAGACGAGTCTGATTGACAACTCGATGACTGACGAGAACCTTAGTCTGTATCTGCTTAAGAGCATTTGCGCTCAATCCGGTTACAGCCATCAATTTCTTTTGCGAGTCCGTCAGTTCAGACGTGGATGCGAAACTTTTCTCCTTCTCGAATAGAGGGGGAGGCTCGTGACGGCCAATGTTAGAGAAGTTCTCTCCCGGTTCAAACACGTCTGGCACAGCAGCGCTATGAGGGTCGAGTTCAGCTTCTGCTTTTCCGGTGGTCAATCGCACATTTTCGAAGAACTTTTGTAAGCTTAACGCTGAAGGTTCATCGGGCATGTCCTTAATAAAATTGGCAACATCATCCACCAATTCATCGTGGGTTTTCAAGCGGGAGTTGGGGTCGTGGTTGGTGATGGGAGAACGGATGTGGTGGTCGACAACAGGCTCGATGGTGGAAAAGTCATCCACATATTTGAGTGCCCACGGATCATCTCTCAGATTGAACTGCTCATCCACATCTTTATCAGGTATAGCTTTCTCTCCGGCCTCAATTGCTTTGATTTGTTCTGGCGAGTAGACAGTCTTCATGTGAGCCTTTTCAGCTTCGGTATAGGGTCTTGACTTTTCGGGCGTATGCTGTTTTAGCCAGCCCTCGACGTCTGAGGCTTTAATATTCTCATGCTTCGGTTTCCGAGGAGTACACGATACAGGAGTCGAGTGGAATTGTCGTCGGGGGTAGCGAATGAGATTTGGTTTGGAAAATGTACAGAAAAGGCACCTTGCCGGTCGTGTGACGCTCATTGTGGCGGATTGAGCTCCAAGAGCCAGTCACGGCATCGAGGCCGTTCGTCAATTCAATGAAAAATGCGGCCCGGCCGTAGAATTGGAGGCCGTTCGTCCCTTCAATCGCGTGGTCAGTCAATTCCAATTGAATTCAAAGATTGAAAAGAATTTCTTCTGAAGCTCAAATAAGATTTATTACCTAATAACGGAATATTATTCTCCCTGATTAGTAATAGATAACTGATTATGTAATTTACGGGCTCAGGCACGCTAAAGGCAACTACGATGCTTTTAAAGACGGTTACCGATCCTTCTACCTACCGCTCAGTCTATACCTATAGGTATGCATCTGCCAGGACAGTAGTTATATCTTGCAACATAAGAATGCGATATGACTATTCAGAGGGAGCAGTGTTCATTCACTAGAAATATTGGTGATGCACTTGGACTCCCCGCTGTTTTGGGAAATCATATCAGGCAGCGACATTGTTGTTCTATTAGTTTTAATATATGCAATCTACTGCAAAGACCAACATGGATTAGGTGAAGCTGGGTTGCCTCGCTCAGCTGATATGAGTGCGGCGTATTCGCGCTGTGCCGCAAGGCAACCGAATTCCAGTACTGATATATATAATCCACTCTTCGTTTAGTGAAGACAGAAGAATCCATTTCTTCCTAGCTCCCTATCTCTACACTTCACGGTCTTCGGCAATATTCCAACCAAACCTCACACGAGCAACGCACAAAATACCCAAGTCAACATGTCTAAAACACATGGAATATCTGCGAATATCTATGGGCGGGGAGATCGCTCCCTCGGCGATAGACCGTGCCACGTCGGCCTTGCTGTGTACGAAATTGGCTCCGACATCTGTGAAATGCATCATATCCGTTGCCCTCAGGATGACCAGTACATCTACGACCCTCGAACCCAACCCCTTGAGGATTCAGTGTTGCGCGGCCGATGTGAATTAACCCAGCTATCAAATCCCGAGAAGCAGCAGGTTAGCCAGATTCTCGAGAAATTCGGCCTTGACTCTACCAATATCCCAGAAGTTGGTGTGGGCAATTGTCAGGACTGGCTTGCAGGAGCAGTGAAGGAACTCGAGCGCCATGGTATTCTCCCAGACGGAGAGGGAAGTTATTGGAGAAATATGATCAACTTGACATCTGACCAAATGAAGAAACGCTGTGAAGACGATGGGAAACAGTGGATTGATGGACCAGGACAGATCCCGTTCAGTGGGGTCCCTGATGCTAGATATTCGGATCGTGAAGAGAGAAACGTCGGGAAACTAGCTCATGGTTCTATAATAGAGGGAAAATTGGAATCTCTCTTTGCCTCTAAATCTGGTCCTGGTTCTTCGGCTTATGAAGATAATGATCCTCAGCGGCTATATGTCTCTAGCCCCTTTTTCAGCCAGACAAAGCGCGAGGACTGAATTTTTACATTCAGATACTTCGAATGTTAATAATAACCCTTTATGGGGATATATGCACTGGTTTTAGCTACATGTTTCCGTTTTGTCCAAACCCGAAGGTGAAAATGATGGCTAGAAATAGGGACATGCCTTTGGCTGCGAGTAGAATGGAACGCTGTTAAGTTTAGAGTCTGAAATAGAGTGCTTACCTAATAACAGGACAAGCACGTGATGGTTACTAATCTCGACATTTTGGTTGGCAAAGAAAGTTTGAAAGTGAAATTGATCAAAATCAAAGTAAAATCCGTGAGCTTTTTGCGCAAGACAATTCTTCAACGGCATTGCTCTAATTTCCATTCCAGGGGGATGTTTTTGAGGCCACTAAATGTGCGGATTGCCTCGTTTTCGAGATTTAGAGCGCTACGAATCCCTGCGACCCAATTGATCATCCCCTCCGTTCACCAATACTCGACAGTTCAACGTGCCATAAAGATAGTTGGAGGGTTCGATATGCCTGGACAGGGCAAGGCGCAGCAACATAAGGGGAGAGGAAGAGAACCACAGAGAAAGAAACAGAAAAAGGAAAAGTCGAAAGCCGAAGGAGGTGCGGATGAAGTAGTAGAATTGGACGTGAAGACCCTCCTAGAGAACAACAAACGGAAATCAGAAGAAAATGGCGAAAAGCATACCGATGCCGAAACAAGCGTATCTGTTGTTCACGAAGGGAAAAAGGATTCCCCATTCCCAGAAACAGAAGTAACTGTTTCTGAGTTGTCATCAACCGGAGAAGGTCTTGCGTTATCGCCAAACGGTGACCATGTTTACGTCGTACCATTTGCGCTTCCCGGAGAGACAGCCCGGGTCAGAATATACAAGACGATCAAACCCAAATCATATAGCTTGACAGATCTGGTGGAGGTTTTAAAGCCCTCCGAACAGCGTGATGACTCCCTTATAAAATGCCAATATTTTGGCAAATGCTCCGGATGTCAGTTACAGATGATACCGTACCAGGACCAATTGCAACATAAGAAGCGGATAATAGAAAAGGCATATGCTAACTTCTCTGGGCTATTACCGGAGCTTATACCTGCTATTGGAGATACGATGGGCTCCCCCATGCAATATGGATACAGAACCAAGTTAACTCCGCATTTCACCCAGCCTGCTCGCAACCGGCGGCAAGAGCATAGCAGTGATGCTCCGGAGATCCCCCCTATTGGATTCATGATGAAGGGACGCCGTAAGGTTATGGATATTGAGGACTGTCCTCTTGGAACGGACATTGTTAGAAGCGGTTTGAAAAATGAGAGAAAGAGGGTCGCGGAAAACTTACAGCAATACCCCTACGGTGGTACACTGTTGGTTAGGGAAAGTACGAAAAGGGTGGAGAGGAACAAGGAGAATGAAGCTCTGCCTTCGACTGACAAAGTCATACGGACGACATTTCCAGAGTATGTTGAGGAGAAGACGTACATCACGGATCAAAATGGTATATCTGTTGAATATGTGGAGGATTATCAATTCCACAATATTGCTGGAACATTTTTCCAGAACAACAATTCCATTCTACCATCGTTTACGGGCTATGTTCGAGATAACGCCTTGCATCCTGAACCTAAACCAGATGCTACTCCGGCAGAATCGGCCGCGGCAGCCAAATCCAACCCCAAACTAAAGTACCTACTGGACGCATATTGTGGCTCTGGGTTATTCACCATCGTCCTATCGGGTACCTTTCGCTCATCTCTGGGAATCGACGTCGCTGCATCCAGTATAAAATGCGCACGCGAAAACGCCAAACTGAGCAACGTGCCCAACACGGGTTTTGCAGCTGCAGATGCTGCAGCGTTATTCAAAGATGTTCCATATCCGGCTGACCAGACATTACTTGTCATCGATCCTCCACGAAAGGGGTGTGATACCAATTTCTTGAATCAGTTACTTGCATATGGCCCGACGAGAGTATTATACGTTAGCTGCAATGTTCATACTCAAGCTCGGGATGTTGGCGTTCTAGTTGAAGGAAAGAATGGAATCCGATATGATATTGAGAGTATCCGTGGATTTGATTTCTTCCCGCAAACAAGCCATGTTGAGAGCGTGGCTGTTTTAACCAAGGCTATAGAAACTAAGGCAGAGTAAGGCTTTGTATGATCATGTGTCATATGAGGCTGCAATATGGGCATCAAGTGTTGATAGACATGCATTTGTACTATAGGAAAATTTTAGTGATACCCTACCATGTTCTTGGTCTGTATACTACTGCAAAACATATGACTGGGCATTTGACTAGGAATTTTATAGAACTCCGCCATGTTTTTGATTTCCCCTGTTTAGAATATTTATTTACAAGAGGAAAGGAACGTGTCTCGTAAACGGATACATTGAAGATCTAGAGAAGTATACTCACCACGGCATGCGTAAATTCATTGCGACATAGCGAGAACATTATAGCCAGGGGCATTGTGTTATTTCCTTGAAGTGAACCGGTTCCTTTAAGCACCCCCAGGACCTCCAAGTAGCGCGAATCGTCTTACTATGGAGGGACCAATTTCGTCGTATTCGGCCTAACGTGGAATGAATTAGAAACTGAAGATTGGAAGAAGGGGCCAGAAAATACTTGCCTTAGTGTGGCAGTAGCTGCGGAATTCGGGAGTTTGTCCAAGCAAACTTCCACCAAACCATGGGCCGTGACGTTGTCTCTTGTGAGTAATAACTTGAACCTCCAAACCACCGCTCCTTGCTCCTCCGCTACGTGCTTCTGAAGCACGGATTCTAGCATCTACCAAATGCCTAATATCACGTTGCAGTCGGCGACCAAAATCCTTGTATAGAGTAGAGCCACCAGACAGCACGATGTTCTTGTAGAGCCCACGTCGAACATCAATTGGAGAAGATTGAATAACACCATCGACAACGGTGGGTAGTGGTGTGAGGAAATCAGAGGAGTATATCTCGGGGTTGAAGAAAATCTCCGGAGCCAAAAACCGTTCGTAACCAACATCTATGGAAACAGTTCTTCCATTGGGAGATGTGACGGTGTGTTTGAGGAACCGGTCTGGCTCCCTATCATACCGAGCAAATTCCTTGACAATATCCGGGCAAACGTAGCAGTATTCCTCCTTGATCTTCTCCGCAGTCTTTAACGAGCTGTCAGCTTCATGTCTGTCTCGCAAGAGGTTCTGTACGAAGTAGGTGATATCTCGACCGGCGATGGGGATACTCTTTATCGAAGAGCCAATGACGTATCCTTCCGCAACTGGAATAACGTGTGTGACACCATCACCGGAATCAATGACAGTACCCGTAAGTGACCTGTCTGTAACCTTTGATGATGTCCAAGAAGCTGCTAGGGCGAGGACGGCTTGAACTGCAATATATAGTCCCGCACAGTTAAACGACTCGAAGAAGATCTCTGCAGTGTTTTCTCGGTTCTCTGGCGGGTTCAATGGCTGGTGTTGAGGAAATTAGTAGGCATTAACATATGAGTGGGGGACGTAGGAGGTTTACAGGTTCCGTTAATAGGAAGTAGTGATCCTCTGGCTCGACCCTCAAGTACTTGAAGATGGAGTTGGACCAGAACCTCTCCATATGATCCCAATTTTCAATCTGCCCATGTCTAATGGGATAATGGATGCCATATCCTGGCCCGGAGCTCGCGGCAAGGGCTTCATCTCCAATGAAGTAGTCCAGATCTTCAGTTCCACGCTTTGAGGCAAGCGAAGAAGTCGGCCCCGCGCCGCCTGTTAGGAAGGAGGGCTTGTTTGCGACTGGTGGTCGACCGGAGCCTGTTCCAGGAGCCGCTCCTGCACCGGACTTTGTAGCTATGGCGGTGGGAAAGACGAAAGAGGGAGAATCATTGCCGGCGAACCCTAATTGGGAGGAGAGCTACGAGTTAGCTGGTGGGAGGGGTATACACCGACGGGGTCTACTGCTCACCAAGCTTGGAGTAGCCGGTGCCACTATAGGTAGGAAACAGTTAGCCAATGCGCACTACGGTGAGAACTATCAGCATTTAAACACTGTCTCCCCGGTACTTACTTGTCCATGACAACGGCGGGTGTTTGTGCTGCCATGTTTACCGTGGTGACGTGACGGTCGAGGCAGCAGTAAAGCAGGAAAATTCAATCAAATATCGAGATGGGACAGATATAGACTATGCAAACCGAGCTTCTCAGCAGGCGACCCGCGGGATAGTGGCCTTAATGCTGTGGGGTGTTATGCTGCAGCCTGTCCGTGTCGGAGGGTGGAAGCGTCGTAGGTTAACTTAGAGCGTCCATTCATTGAACAAGGTGGAGGATGAGAAGGCGCCAAGACTTGATATCATGTGCCTTTTTGCTACTTCGACTCTTTTTTCAACGTCAGACATCAAAACGGCCGACTTCACTCCATCATTTCGGGATTTATGGCCCATGGAATGAGCATAAAGAGGTCGAGAGGCCCAGTGAAAAGCCGGGAATGACACTGCGAGACTCCTGATACCACCGGAATAGCCGGAACTCCTGGAAGCAACAACTGGATTGTTGTCACCACCTCCTTCTTGACCGAAGCGCAAGGGAGAAAGCAGAAAAGAATAGAAGCCTCTGAGAGGAGAGCAGAAGAGAAACATAGACAGATGCAGCTGCTTCATCTCTAGACGTTATTTGCGTCTGATGAGCAAACAATGAGCCAGGCTGTCTCTTATCCGCTTCTTTTCTCTCTTTTCTACTCTCTCTCACCAGCACTTCTCCTGATACCTTCCCTTACCAAGGCTACTTTATCTATCTGCATCTTCTAGTCTTCTCAGTATAGGTTTTATCTCTCTGGTGATAACAAGAGGGAATCTTCCCCTAGTTACTGCACCAGAGGTGGAAAAACCTGTGCCATAGACGTACATCGCTTATTCCATGCATAAAGCCATCCACTCGTTACTACCTTGCTTCCTCTCACATTCTCTCACTTCCGGAGCCTAGGTTGATGAGACTTACCTCTTATATTTCTCCTTTACCTACCATCACTTATCTAGGAGCTGATAGTCTGGTGAGGCTGCTTTGATTGTGCTTTCTGAGTACCCCTCTACCGTGCTAAGGTCGTGGAAATAGGTGTCTGCGATCTAGGTCACCTAGCAACCCACTAGTGCTAGATTCATAACAACAGACTCTTTTCGTCTCTTCTCACTGATTAAGATTTTCTATATACCCCAAGCTTTGTCTATACTCCTTCTCCCGTACTTCGAACATCTGTACGAGTCACGACCATCCTATCCCCGACACTCGTGGCAGTATAAACAAGATGAACCCCCAGGACAAGGGCCCCCAGGGGGGTCCAGGTGTATCTGCTATATTTGTTCATGCAGGTGCTGGTTTCCACAGCCGCCAAAGCGAGGAGCTTCATCTCTGGGTGTGTAGCAAGTAAGTTAACTTTCACAGTTCCTAGTATAAAACACCTCGCTAACTGTTTTGGCTACAGGGCAGCCTCACTAGGTATGGCCATGTTGAAGGCTGGCGGAAGTGCGGTTGACGCAGTTGAAGTAGCTATCAAATTCTTCGAGGACCATGAGGTGACGAACGCTGGATATGGTAGCAACCTGACAATTACCGGCGCTGTGGAGTGTGATGCTACAATCGTTGACCATCTTGGCCGCAGTGGTGCAGTAGGAGCAGTTCAAAGTTTGTCCTTCCTGATACACATACAGTAAGGCCCGATTTGTAGCTGACAGACCTTGTTTTGTAGATATAAAGAATCCGATCTCCCTGGCAAGAGTGGTACTGGATGCCTCAACACAACCACTCTCACTCAACCGTGTGCCTCCAAACTTACTTGTATGTGGTGGTGCCACTGATTTTGCATATGAACATGGCATGCCTGTACTTCCCTCGGATATCCTGGTAGCTCCAGCAGCCAGAGACCGGTGGGTAAGGTGGAAGCGAGATCTTGAGCAGGTCTCACAGAGACTCCACAAGCGAGAAAAATATGTTGAGCTAGATAGCTTTGTCCCTCAACACTTGCCATCTCAACGAGTTAGTCAGGCCTCTACTGCAGTTGAAAGTATTGACTCGCCACCCCACGATTCATGCTATGGTGCACACTCGCTTTTTCACGTCCCTCGAAGTCCAGCTCACGTTACCAATATATGCCCTTCAAGAGATGCAATAAGCATGATTGGATCTAATAGATGTGGATCTCCCTTACTATGTGTTTCACGCAGTGATATCTCTATGGAAGGTGATGGCGAGGCTGATGCAGACTTCATCGACGACACTTTCCACCAAGATCCTGAACCTTCGTCACAGCAGGATGCCATAGACAAACAAAAGGACAAACACGTGTGTTCCGTGGAAGATTTGGCTCGCGAGGGTATAACTGGTGCATCAGCTGCCAACAACGCTCATGACCTAGCTGTAACCCGAGACGAAGATGAAATCACCGACACAGTAGGTGCTATTGCTATAGATTGTTATGGCAATATTGCCGCCGGTTCATCTTCTGGGGGCATTGGAATGAAGCATAATGGCCGCACGGGCCCTGCTGCACTAGTCGGGATAGGGACTGCAGTTATTCCAGTGGATCCAGATGATGAAATGTGTACATCCACTGCCGCCGTTGCGAGCGGGACAGGAGAACACATGGCCACAACCATGGCTGCTCAGACCTGTGCTGAAAGGATTCACTCTAGCACGAAGAAAGTGCCTGGCAAACCAGGAGTCTATGAGCCCACGACGGAGGATGAAGTCATTAAATCTATGATACAGACCGATTTTATGGGTAGGGTGGCACCAATATTTGCTTTTAAACCTTACTATATGCCTGGCTGCTGATCATGGCATATGAAATGTAGGTCATCCTGCCGTCAAATCAAGCCACTGCCACGCAGCAATTGGTGTAATGACCGTCAAGAAAACTCATGATGGTATTATCTTCGTCTTCGGCCATAATACAGATTCCTTTGTGAGTATGGTTCTTTCCTCAAAAGATGAGGCAAACATCCTAACAACTGATTCCAGGCGGTCGCGAGCATGAGCTCTGATGATGTGGCGGCGTGCTGTACGATGTCTCGTTCTCCAGGCGACCGAAAGATAGCCCAGGGCGGCCGCTTTATTAGGCCGAGGAGGTAGGTTTTAACACTCATCTAATTTCTTGGTATTCGAGGGTTAAATGGGAATGTTTAGATTTAAACCTAGCCCAGATACTTCACAATAAGCCTAATGCTTGTGAGATGCACTTCGACATTACCGCAGTTTTGATGAAACCTTGATTTGATGCCTTTGCGTGTACGACAACCTAGCTATTAACAAGGTACGCCATCCTGTATTGACTATACCTTGGCCCCGGTATACAGTTCCCTATAATTATATTCTCCAAAGTAACACTCTTTCAGCCGTAGATTCTTGACCTCCGCATCCCTATCTGGATTGAAGGTTGAGTATCTTGGGGTAAAGAGGAGAGGGTAAGGGGACTCCATTAAACCTCGGCTGGGAGGGATGCAAGCAGGTCCCCTTTCATTTTACCTAAGCCTGGACATAAGTCTTTATCTTCGCGCTGCAACCTACCTATAACGAGCTGTATGCACGGACCTAGGAATACATACATATTATATTATTGACCACCGGGGTCGTATCATGCTTCTTCGAGTATCTTGGAGGTTGGAATAAAAAGAAAACAGAGGTATAACGGCAAAAACAAGGCTCGCCTTATCAGGGAGCCGGGGTAGTTGCCATTGAACTCGGGGTGGCTGGACCGGAAGAGACTCCGTTACCTGCTCCATTAAGTGTCTTTGCGGAAGCTTTCTTACGCTTCTTCTTCCGTGAAACAACGATCGGTTTGGCTCCATAGTCACCCAGAGCTAAATGGGTGCCACAGGTGAGACAATTGGCACCCTCAGGTGGTTCGCAGAAGATACTGAGACAGATACTACACACAAACCCGACATCGACGACTTTCCGGTGACAGAAGCAAGCAGCGCGGAAATCAACGTCGACACGGGTAGGCAGTATCAGGTTCCGCCTCGCTCGCTGATCAGGTAAAAAGGCGAGCATGAGATATTGTAAAAACCCCCGCGGGGAGTCTAAAGACATGTATATGCCACGAGTAGCGTCACAGGCCTGTTGTAGGAAAACAGCATCACCGGCTAGCTTGCATATGTCGATGGGTATGTGGAGACGCTGACAGGCAAAGATGCTGTTCATAATAGGTATGTATTGCTGAGCTGAGTTTGCAGCACTACTGACGGAGATGATAAGGATACGAGACTGGAGAGCACCAGCATCTGTAGCAGCGGCAGCATTAGCCTTATCTGATGTGGGAGGGGCGCCGCCCGGAGGTGGGGGGAGGCCGCCCGCTCCGCCTGCCGCTGGGTCGGAGCCGGCCGCCGTTCCATGTGTATCAAGGTAAGCGATGGTTTCGCGGTTGATATAGCTGAGTGCAAGGGAGAGGGCGCCGGCCATCATGGTAGAAGAGGAGGAGGAAGAAGCAGAAGAAGGGGATATTTCTTCTGCTCGGGTGCGCGTGAGAAGCCGATTGAGGTTGCGGGTCAACTGCTGCTCAACCAGGAGGAAAGGACGGTACTTGTTCGGCTGCTGTTCCAGCTGCTGTGCTTGCGGGGAGACGACGGGTTCTCCGTAGTCGGTCATGGGTGTATCTCCGTCCCGATCGTTATTGGACGGCCGGAGGTGTTTCTTTTGCGAGTCGGTAGCGGCATCACCAGGAGCGGCGGCCGGGGGAGTTGGGTACAGCCAGACGGCCTGATGGCTGTGACTGGCCACAACGGCCACTTTGTTTGCGTAGTTGCATGCCAGATGGGCGTTGATGAAGACCAGCAGGTTCGCCACGGCAGAGGAGAGCGGGAGCGTCTCTTGAAGCTGTGCCCAAGCATGCGGGTTTGTATCCAGGATGACCGTCAGCAGCGAAGGATCTGGGGATATGAGGTCAGTCAGTGTGTAGCTGCGACGATAAGGTGGTGGACTGACCGTTCGCTGCAGCGCCTGAATCCGCCATCCTGACTCACTCTCCTCCTCTCCGGGTCTCTCTCGCTTCTCTCTCTTCTCTCTCGTCGGCAATCTTGCGCTTCGACCTCGCCGTCGCCGTCTGTCGTCTGTCGGTTTTTCTTTCTCCTGCGGCCGAAGAACGAACGTCAAAGGTCACCGCTTAGTCAGCATCTCAACACCGTCCCAAAAAGGGCCAAAAGATATAAAAAAAAAAAAAAACAAGCAAAGGACGAAGAAAAGACGAGGAAAGGGATAGAAAACGCCGAGGACAGCGAGAAGAAGCAAAGAAGGACGACGAGGGACAGGCTGAAGAAGGCCGTCGAAGTCTTCCGGTTGGTCCTGCGTATTCCTCCTGCATGCACCTCGACGTAATAACACCGCAGGAGACAAAAAAGAAAGCAGAAAAATAAAGCATCTCTTATCTCCTGCTGCTTCTTTGACAAGTGATCATACTTACATATCTTGCCTCAAGATAACTAGCGAGAGCCAGACCGAGGCCAGAGACCAGAGACGGAGTAATATTAGGCAGCCTGGTCTATAAAAGGAGGCGTCTTGCCTTCTTGTCTTCTGCGTCTTAACTAGTTACTCCCAGTCCAACCTGACCGAAATCCCCCAACCCTCCGCAAGCCACGTTCAACAGCCAACAGAAACAGGTACTTCGGCACAGTAACCATATACGAGGGACGACGAGGGACACGCTGATAAGGACCGTCCCATCGACTTCGCCGTTCTTTTCGGGGAATTTTTTTACGGTGCTATCACTGCCTCTTCGCTGCCGGAAGCTCCCCCTGCCATAGCTTCAGGCGAAAAAAAGCCCCGCGGATCCTTGTTTGCCATCTCAGCTCCAGCCTAACAGCAAGATAAACTAGACGAACCATCGCAAGACGATCATCAAGACGATAATAACGAAGAGAAATACTCAGAACAACCCCCATGGTTTCAGTACATGATCTGGAGCGCGCCAGCACACTAGCCAGGGAAGCAGTCGAGCTCGTCGATGCGGGCCACAAGGAGGTGCGTCAACTTTTTGATATCTGCCACCAGCCAGACAAGCCGGTCGTAAGTTACTGATGGACTGACAATGGCGGATAGGCGGCATCTCGCAACCTGCGCGAGGCTATTGCCATCGCTCCAGATAGCGAAGATGTCAAGAGCGTCTTCCGCAAGATAAGGGAGGACGAGGAGAACAGTCATCCGCTGCTCAACCTCTGCCGACGCTTCGTGACGCAGCGGGATGAGAGCGCAGCCGGCGAAGCCACCAAGTATCTTCGCTCGGAAGGGCTCCAGCCACCACCGGAGGTAGCCCTAGAGTGCGTCAAGTTGCTTCTTGCTGAGCCTGCGTCCTCTCTACCCGCAGCGCAGGACGAGCTGATCACGGGCCTTGTACGGCAGAGCATACGGGTTCGTAGCTACTTTGCTGGTGAATTACAGAATTCTGTCACTGGCCTGTTTGATAAGATCTACGACCGCGGAGATGGCGCTGTTGTCTGTCTGGACATGGTCGTCCTCGAAAGGGGACTCTGGCAATCAGAGCAGACGAGGAAACATTGCGAAGAAGAACTCTTCCAGCTCTTCATCGCCAAGCTGATGGAGTCTGGCCATGACCATGATGGACGTTCCCTGAAGGGCATTGCTCGTCTACTTGTCGTGGACGCTGGTAGCTTAAAACACCTCGTCGACGAAGAAGGCTTCGACGTTATCGTCTCTTCTCTCGACCGGAGACTCCCTGCTGATGTCAAGAGCCAGGCCACCCTTGCTACAGCAAAGTACCTCGAAGTTTCCGGCGATGCCGGACAGACACTGTGCTCCAACTTCATCAAGACTAGGGTCGCTAAACACCGGAAAGGGGACTACATCGTCGCTTTCTCCGCTGCTAGTGTCGTCTTCCCCATTCTTCCGGAGTTTGCAGTCAGCCTGTTCCTAACCGAAGGTTTCCTCAAATCCCTCACCCCATTGCTGGCGCGGAAAATAAAGTGCAAGAACCTGGAGCTCGCTATCCTAGAGTTATTTAACGCTGCCTGTGTTAATAGCTCGTGTCGAGAGGCTATATCCAAGAACTTTGTCGACTGGCTTTCCGAACATCTGAAGAGCGAAGCCGAGGAGACGACTGCTTTGGCTGCGGTCGTTTTGGCAAAGCTTAGTGTTTCGCCCAAGGACGCGAGTTCCGCAGACAAAGACAAGGCCGGAATCGTTCAAGAAGAACATGCCGACCCCCTGGAACTTGTGGATAAGTTCAAGACCATGCTTGGAAAGTCTGGTCAGGATGGCAACCTGCGACATGTTGTCGAGGGCCTGGCGTATGCCTCTGTCAAGGCTGAAGTCAAGGAGCAGCTCGCCCAGGATTCCAAATTTCTCCAAGACCTGATCAGCCTACTACTTGAGCGTGTTGCCGACTCTACTGTCCTCTATGGCGGGCTAATGATAATCCACAATATCACGGCTTATCGACCAAACATGTCCGAGGAGCAGAAGAAAATGTCCGAACTAAAAGCATATGCTAATGCATCAAAACCACGCGCAACTGCTAACCCGCTCGAAGATGACGATCATACCAAAGCAAGGTGCAGTGCTATCGTGAATGCCGGGGTGATGCCCTTGCTGGTAGAATGCGGAAAATCGCAGCTGGCGTCTCCAAAGGACCTCGTCAACAAGATACTTCTCTCCTTATCCAAGGATTCCAAATCAAGAGGCAAACTCGCCCAACAAGGTGCCGTGAAACTCCTCATATCATCCGTCTCTTCCCAGGATAGCACTGCCACACACACTCCAACTACTGAGAGCACCATCACAAACGGCGCTCATGCTCTTGCCCGCATCCTTATTTCGGTAAATCCATCTCACGTCTTCCCTTCCTCCGGATTCCCCCAAATCACCTCTGCAATCCGACCCCTCAACATCCTTCTCACTCCTCCCGGAACAACAAGTATTTCCTCCGACCAACCACGCGATCTTCTTCCAGTCTTTGAGAGTCTTCTTGCCCTCACCAACCTTGCCTCTTACCCTGACCAAAGCGTCAGCACTTCGATAATCCGCTCTGCATGGTCGACCATCGAAGACCTTCTTCTCTCACACCATACGTACATCCAACGTGCAGCCTGCGAGCTAGTATGCAACCTTATGTCATGCGAAGCTGGTGTCGGCAAATTCGCTGATGGCACCCACCGCGCCAGTCAACGCATGCACATTCTTCTCGCTCTAGCGGATGTTGATGATATGCCCACCCGTAGTGCTGCTGGCGGCGCCCTAGCAATGCTAACAGACTTTGAAGGGGCTGCCTCGGCCATCGTCGAACGCACCAGAGGTGTTGATATAATTCTCAATTTATGCCAGGAAGATGACGATGGGCTGGTTCACCGCGGCATTGTCTGTGTTCACAACATGGTAGGTGGCACAGGTGACATTGGACGCAAGGCTAGAAAAGCAATACGCGAGAAGCATGGCATGGAAGTCCTCAGAGACTGCCTTACGAAGACAAAAAACCCAGCTGTCATGCGAAGCGGAGTTGAAGCCTTGAAGAAGCTGGTTGACTGTCAGGCATCGGATTAAGGCGGTATACGCAATCTCCTTACGTGTATTTTTTTTATATTTTATTTTCTGCTTCTACATCGTGGGCCTAGAGGTGTGTGTTTGATTATTTCTTATTTCTGCCCCCCTTTGATTTGTTTGATGCTTTACGTTTCTCCTCTTCATGGCATTCATTCGGATCTTTTCATTTACGGTGTTTTCATTCGATGGATGGTGGAGGGTGGCTGATGGGCTATAACTATGTGTACGGTTGGCTTTCTGCGTTTTCTCGCTTACTGGGTTACTTGTTTGCTTGCTTGTTATGATTCCAATTTGCTCTGATATTCATGACCCCTTTATTTCCGTGCATTAATATATATACGACTCGCAGTGAAATTGACTCAATTTGCAAAAATAGCCCTATCCTGTCCTACTTACACCTCCTAATAAGAGAAGATGGACTCCTGTTTCTCTGGCAGCCCCAACTTAGCTCTGAGCTCGTCTTCCTGCTGCCCGGCCTTGACCTTGGGTACATATCTCAGCAGACCAAGCGAGCCTCGCTTGAGATTTGGGACCATTCCATCAATAACGTCGACAGTGAAGTTATCGATGTTCATCGTGTCCTCGGATCGAATGATCTGTCGTGCTTGAATAGTGTTCAGCGTCCGTCGTTCATCGGCGGAGAGACTTTCTTCAAGCTTCTTAACAACGTCCGTTTCTTCACCGTTTTTTGTCTCGCTGACGCTCTTGATCTTGTTCATCAGCGCATCTTGTTCTTCTCTACCGGCATTCTGGAATGCATTGACACAGAAATTGATCGTTTGAGCAATCTCGGCCTGTGTGAGAGTTTTGTCCACATCCACCGTTCCTTGGATGACTGTCAATCATTGTTAGTATTGATACCCTATACCAGACACTTGGGGATGAAAACGAACGTACTTGGTCGGAACAGGTCAAATGCACGGTTGAAGCTCTCTTCATCCCAGTCTGTAAGAACAGGCTCATCGTGATCAGATATTTGTTTCAGGGCACTCATTACCACCAGAAGGAAGCGGGTGTATCCCTCCGCAACTTTCTTCGAATGCCACTCTGCTGCAGCCTTTTCATCACAGTCTCCCCTCTGTGCGGCACGAATACTAAGAGCTGCAGAAAGGCCGCTTGCAAAGGCTAGATGGACTCCCGAAGAGAAAAAAGGATCAATGAAACAACCTGCGTCTCCGGCGATGCGCAGGTATGGACTTGCATAACTTGAGGCGCTGTAGGACCAGTCTGATGCAGACTTCAAGTCAGACACCAGTTCCGCATTGTCAAGAAGCTGCCATATACCGGGGATTTGCTTCACATTATCGAGGTAGAACTGCTGTGAGCTCGATCCCGCCTCTCGCTTCTTTGTTGTGGCCATGGCCTGGTTCATCACAACACCGATAGACGTGGTGCCATCATGCAGGGGGATCAACCAGACCCAGCCGCTTCCATCTATTTAAAACAAGTTAACTTGTTGTCACTAAAGAGTATATGCAATATGCAGCATGCTGATGAAAAGGGTAGCTTACCTGCAATGGCCTCAAAGTAGGGGTCCCCCTCTCGAGGAGTCCCAATGCCATATGAACTTGCCCCTTTCCAGTATCCCCAGGTAGCCACATTCTTCAGTCCCTGATTATATGTCCTGTTCTTCATATATTTGGTACTGACCAGCCCAGCTCGGCCAGTGGCATCCACGAGATACTCAAAATTAATCACTCCGGAAGACTTGTCCGCCTTGCGCGTCCAGGTGGCGGAGACCGGTCGACCCAGGTCTGTTGACACGGGGTCTGAATTGTCTTCGGAGAGTGGTTCGAAGTTGATAGCATTCACCTTGACGCCATCGAAGGTTTTGGCTCCATTTTCTCCGGCATGCTTGAAGATGAGGTGGTCGGCCTCCGAACGAATTACGTTCCATGCATAGCTTCCGGGACCACCAGCCGCAACGAAGTCGGTATCTTGTCCTGAAGTTAGACCTGACGTTGCAAGATATACCATTTATTTGTACTCACATGCTTCCGGCTTCGAATTCAGCTTGAAGGCAGCCCCGTTCTATCGAAGTGTTAATTCCATACAACAACGGATTAGAGTTCTGTTTGCAAAGCACTCACCTTCTGAACAAATCCATAACTATCAAATTTGGAGTCTAGGTCGATAAATCGTAGAAAATGGCGAATAGATGGCAGCATGCTCTCGCCGATATGGTATCTAAATGGAAGATAGACGTTAACCACGGCCCCTTAAAGCTTGACATTTGCCAGAGGGTCTTTACCTGGGGAAGACATCGGCCTCGAGGAGGACTACATCAACTCCCTCTCTAACCAACGCTGAGGCAGCGTATGATCCGGCTGGGCCACCTCCAACTACCAGAGCAGTACAAGATGCTGGGATAGACATGTTTGCTTCTTCAGTGAAATTGAAACTTTTGTTTATGCCATTGACTTGGGAGTGATTACTTGCTCTATATATCCTATCGCCCTTACCCCTATCCCTCTCTTCGGGTACCGAACATATCGCGTACAAGGCTGTAAGGGGGCACCGGTCTCCGGCTTTCACAGCTTCTTCCTCTAGTATCTGCTCTCAACGATACTTCTCATAGATTGGCGACAATGTGGGACACATGGTCTTCAATTAATAGATTCAAAAAGTAATAGGGCAATTCATGGTTGATCACCAGAAAGTATTTTCTAATCAATAACTAGCTAACATTCTCGATCTATATTGTAATTACTCGCTATTAAACAAACTCTTCGGCTACAATATTTCAACATAAGGTATCTACTATACTCTGACATCCCTGGACCGTATCATTATCCTGGCTTCTGGGTTTGGCATGATACGAACGCCGTCAAAAATATTAGCAGGCCTTTTGGGTGTTTGATTATCCTGCATATTCTCCTCGAAACGGAAGTCGTACTTCATAAGTAGTTCGGCGATAATGACTTTCACTTGATTACTTGCAAAGTGACGTCCGGGGCATGAATGCGTCCCGTACCCCCAGTTCAACTCTGAGGCACTGTAATGATATTAGCAGGGTGTTTCTGCATGGCACAGATCGGTGAAATAGTTACCTTATAGAAGAGAACTGGTACTTGTACTCATTACCCTTGATTTGGCGCAATTTCTCAAAGCGGTAGCCATCAAACCGTGTCGGACACTCCCATAGGGACGAATCTGTGTTGACAGTCATAGCCGGAGCAGAAACAGAGATGCCTGCTGGCACCGTGGTACCATCAGGCAAGTCAAACTTCGACAAAGCAAAACGGCTTACACTGACTGTTTTGATATTAGTGACATGATTTGCTTGGGATGAAAATAGGTGTATTTACCAATGCCGATGGGGTTCAATCTTTGAGATTCTTTGAGAAAACTGTCACATTTACGGAGCTCTGCTAAAGCTGCCGGTGTCCAGGTCCCGCCACAAGAATCAAATACAGTTTGAATCTCAGTTCGTAATGGTTCTATGTATTCTGGATGAGCTAGAATATCGAAAAAGAAATGGATGAGCTGTTGGGTGTATATCTCATTAGCTTACCCCTCGTTTTAGAATAGAGCCCATCTGAAGACTCACCTGAAATGCTAGATTATATGTTGCCGCTTGTACAGCCTCAAGTTGCAATCTTGTATGGAGAGTCAAGTTGCTACTCTGTCCTGGATAGTTATCAATTATCCATTGCATCAAATCCTTAGTGCCTGGAGCATCTCCTGAAAGCCTGGCGTTTAATACTGGAGACAGTAACTTGCTCGCCTGCTTGAATTGCTGGCTCATCTTCCCAATCTCAGGGAGGAAAAGGGCCCTGAACGGACGTAGCATCCAGTGGGTGTTTGACATTTTGGCGGCAATCGTTACAGTTGAGATAGCATACTCCAGTGTCAAGTCGATCTAACAAGATTAGCAAAAACACCATCTATTTTCAGATTAGATATCCTTCTTACCCATTCTTGCTCCCTAGACAGAGGTGAGTTGATAAAGGTGCGCCCAATATGCAATGGGACCAGTTTGACCATGGTAGGGAAAAGCTGAAGTGGTTTCCATTCTGGGATATCCGTTAGCTATCAATTCATGACATTGATACCCTTGAGTATTGTTATAACGGAGGGATATCGCACCTGGACAATTGCCGATCTGTGACGAGATAGTCCATATGGCATCTTCTTGGAGTAGGGAAATATTCCCTCCAAGCTGTTTGGATAGTCCTCCGCGTACAAACTCAGCCAAGTGATCACTCTTTACCATCTTAGTGTAACGGCCCATCAATCGTTCATACACCTCCCTTCCCAAGCTCAATCTATGCTCAGGGGCATAAGCAATAGTAGAGAGGCATTTACGTGGGACAACGATGGTTGGGATATCACGAGTCGGGATTTGAAAACACGATTCCGGATACTGCTAATGATTAGTTAAAGTGTATAAACTAGTATCAAGGGATTAACAAGAGTAAAAATACCTCTCGAGACCCTTCCTCCACTGCAGCCATAAAGTTTTGGCTCTTAGCATCGCCAACGATAGGTATCTTATTTGGCTTTGGACGGACACACCACCAGACAGATATTATTGCAACCAGCCCAACCATGTATGGCAAGGCTGGAATAATATTCTGTGCATGAAAATAATCCATTTCTAACATAACGATGAATCGTGGGAGTTTAGAGAAAGGCAGAAGGGAGAAAGGCCTGATAATATGGGATATGGCCCCGTTTCTCTCGGAGACCGAGCTGTCAACCCATCCCGATCCTAGTCGCCGAGGTAGATAGAAATATAATCTGTAAAACTTCCTCTGAAGCTGAAAGTATTTTCAAGCAGTAAAGCATTGTCAGTTGTTCATATTGCTGTAGCCATGTTTCTCTCATTTGGGTTCCTGCCCATTGTCTACGGTGTATGTTCAAATTCCCCCCTTCTTCCTCGAGCTGAATACTGACTGCCGACTAATCCAGCTCGTCCTGTTCGCTGTTGCAAAAACCGTTTATAACCTTTACTCTCATCCATTGAGATCATATCCGGGGCCGTGGCTAGCTCGCGCTTCCAGGTGGTACTGTTCCTACTATCTCAAGATTGGCCGGCTTCCGCACAAAACAAAAGAATGGCATGACAAATACGGCCCCTGTGTGAGAATCGCGCCGGACGAGTTGTCGTATAATACTGCAGAAGCCTGGGAGGACATTTGTGGTAGGATAACAAGATATAAATTTCTCCCACTGTTTATAGGTTCTCGCTGACGGCTTTATTTTTGATTTAGGACATCGAACTGGGACGAGGACGGAGAGCTTTGAAAAAGATCTAACGTTCTTTCCACCCGCTCCAAATGGAGTAGATTCAATAGTAAGTAGCTGATTTATGCTTGTGCATCATGACTGGAGCTGATATCTTGTTGTGTAGATTGTTGCGAAGGACGATGGTATAGTCTACACATATAGTTTAGCCGTGCAGAAATAGAGAAGCTGACAAGATGCCCTAGTCCACCGACGATTTCGAAGGCTTTTGTCTCATCCGATGTCAGACAAAGCTCTAAGTGCCCAGCAAGAAATCATTACCGGGTACGTCGGCCAGTTAATTGAAGAGCTCCGAGCGCGAAGCATCGGTGAAAAAGGGGGTAAAAAGGGGATGGTGGATATGGTCCGCTGGTTTAACTTCACTTCGTTTGATATCCTTGGAGACCTTGCATTTGGCGAACCATTCGGTTGTCTCCGAAGCGGTATCATGCATCCATGCATAGAACTCATCTTTACAGCCATTAAGTCTGTAATGGACATGCAGATTATCCGTCGTGTCCCTGGTCTCTTCCCCATGATGATGGCTATTGCTGGTCTGTTCCAACAAAGCCAGCATCTACAGGACCAGTTCATGTTTTGTCAAAAGAAAGCACGCGAACGCCTTGGTAGAGAAACTACCAGACCTGACTTTAGTAAGTCCATGATTGGCATATGATAAGAACCTCGACGTTAACAGCTTTGACAGTGACATATATCCTCCGCGCTACCGAGGAGAAAGGGATGACCCAGGATGAGATCGAGGCAAATGCACAGATCTTGATCATGGCCGGTAGCGAGACCACTGCATCGGCGCTGTCTGGTATGTACAGTCCAAGTCCAGAAAAGGAAGAAGCGATGTGGGCTAACATGATATGCATAAACAAGGCACACTCTTCTATCTGCTCAAAAGCCCAGCAGTTATGCAGAAGCTTAGAAAGGAAATCGAGTCCACTTTCCAGCATGAATCTGATATAACTATGCGATCAACCCAAGGGCTGGAGTACTTGAATGCAGTACTACAGGAATCAATGAGGGTGTACCCTCCTGTTCCTTGCACATTTCCTCGCACAACACCCCCAGGCGGTGCCACAGTCTGCGGCCAGTACGTCCCGGGGGGTTATATTGTTGGTATCAATCAGCTAGCGGCCATGACTTCTGCGAAGAACTTCACAGATCCGACGAAGTTCGTGCCAGAACGATGGCTGGGTGATGAGCGTTACAAAAATGACTGCAAGAAGGCGTATCAGCCGTTCTCCTATGGACCACGCAACTGTCTCGGAAAGAAGTAAGTGTTCCCCGACGGTGACCGGGGCCTGGTTACGGACCAATAGGAGACAATAATGCTAATGGATTTGCTGTAGTTTGGCATATGCAGAAATGAGACTTGTTCTCACACGCCTGCTTTGGAATTTCGAGTTGGAGTTATCAGAGGAGTCAAAAGACTGGCATTCCCGGCAGAAGGTATGGATGATGTGGGATAAAGGCGACTTGAACGTTAAGATCCGGCCACTGAGGCCTTAGCCGTTCTCTTTGTTAGTGTAAAATCCTCGAGAAACTGATTGTTCTATGTACACGGGATGAAGGAAATTCAAAATACACTTTTCTTTGAATTATTATGGTATTAGAGGGCGGAAGATAGCTTGCCCACACGCTCCTCTAGCTTTGTGCAGGGGTTGGGTTCTAGGGTTATGGAATCCCGAAGAGTGGTGAGAACTTGTAGACACCGCTGTAGCTCACGTTGAAGTAAATAAGACCGAAGTTCCAGTTGTTCATCCTGGCTGATTTGAAACGACCCGAACCGGAGATTAGGCAGAACGTTTCCACCGCTGTTGCCGCGAGATAGGGATTTGCAGGCTCCAATATTTGTGAGACCTCCCATACTGCCTATGACGCTAGCACGATCGCTGTCCGAGGGGTCCTGCCCCACACTGCGTTCAAAAAGAGTGACGATTTGTTCTATGGCAATGAGAAGTAGCATGGCGCAGTTGGATCGTTCCTTGTGAGCACCTTGACTCAGGAGCCGTGAGATTTCTGCAAGGGTGACTTTGTTGGTATGCATGACCACGTCCAGCGCGATAACACCTCTCTGAATGTGATGTTCTAGAAACTCCACTATTCGGTTACAACTTAGGATAGTCCAGCTTCGATAGTTGTATTGTTGTTGACGAAGTCGTCCACTTGTAAATTCGCTGTCACATTCCGTCACAGGTACATTTTCAGTATACTGGAACGCGGAACGGCTCGGGTAAGACCTTGAAGGATCAAGGTGGACGGAACGCCTCTTCTTAGTGGATGGTGTTGCTGGGGTAGGAGCAGGAGTCTCCAATGAACAGCTGGGGAGATCCATCGGATGAAAATCATGAATGTGGAGATCTAAGTCGGGTAGATCTAAGTCTGGGAGATCTGGTAGGTCTAGGGGAAGCATTCCGGCATCTATATAAGGGGTGGTGTGCACGGGGCTTTGAGTGTGGGAGTCCCCAGCAGCCTGACTGTGGCACCGGGACGACCGACTAGGGTCGTGTTCGGAAGACATCAATTGACTGGGTAAAATGAAAAGGTCTGCGGAATCAAACGGATTGAGGGACTTGTCGGTAGAAGGATTGGTCCAGTCCGCATACATCCCTACAGGGGACTTGGGGGTGTTTGTGTCAAAGAATTGACCAGCGTCAGCCGCGTTTGGTTTGTCACCAAATTCGGGACGGGAATTGGGCTCGTCAGGCTCGGTGGCCGTGGTTTGGGTGGTGGTCTGCGCGTCTGTGTCGCCTTCGGCGTCTTGTGGCAGCACAATTGCAGATTCAGATCGCGGGGTTTGGACAGTTTTCTCCGTCGAGTTCGCCCGAGATGGCTTATTTGCTCGAGCTCGGATTCCTGGTACCTTCCCGACCCTGGATACTGCATAGACACACTCATACTGCAGGTTGCTACAGCGGGTGCAGCCGGTTCTTTCGCCGCTGCATCGTACCTGGGCAATCTTATCAGCATATCAAAACGAATGATGGGGACTAGATATCAAATACTATGGATTTAAAAGTTGTTTACCTTTGCTGCATGGCATTGGTTACAGGCCGACCGCCATCGCACGGGCTTTCCTGATGAATCTGGCCTGCAAGGGCAGGGTCAGCAAAAAGGAGATGAACGAGCTCAGGATAGAATGGGCTAACGAACCGCTCGGTCGTGGTGGTGGCGGTAGAAGACATATTCCTTATGATGGGAGATATGGCTGCGTGGCGTAGAGTGTTTCTTTTCTCCTAGACAAGTGATGATAGCTTCTGATAGCTTCTTCTCCTACCGGGGGAGGACCCTTGGTAATTCTTATAGGACCGCAGGCCGAGGTCGTGAACCCGTTTTCTCGTCCGTTCGAAGACACCGATAAGGACGAAGGGAGGAAATCTCAGCCTGCGGCTGGAGATATCTTCCCCCAGCCAAAAATAAAGCACCGTCATTTGGTTCAGCCCTGCCAAAGATGGAGACGCAATCCTCCGAGGTCAGTCATGCTGCGTCTCGGGATGCATCATGGCAGCCAAGCAATGCCCTCCAGGACAATAATGGACCTGTCTAAGGGGTCCATCACACGGCCAGAGCCTGAGTAGTCATAATTAATGGCCAGCATGTTGAGCAACCCCCTTTCCCGGGTAGATCAGGATGGCCAGCGAGGCACCAGCCAAAAAAAATAAAAAAAAAAAATAAAAGAAAAGAAATAAAGCTGTATAGAGAACGAGGGGCATCCATAACACGCATCGAGCCACGCCGCTCACCCTCGCATCCTCTCGCTGTCCTGGCGTCCCTGGCCGTCCCCTGCTGGCCGTTTGTTTTGCTGCGTGTTAAGCGAGAAATATGCAGAAGCTGAAGGCAGTCGTCAAGATTCCCCAAATAGGAAATCGGTGACTAAGCAGGCTAAACGTCGATCCTGAATTTCTTTTTTACGGCTTCAAACTTCAACTTCAACTTCATCTCTCTTTGGTTCTTGGAGACGGCGTTGCTTCTGCTGCTAACGAGTTGACTAACGTGATACGCAGGCTACACTGTGAGATACATGAGGATGCATGTTTAACCTTGGTCCAGGAGCAGGGCTGTAGGCCGATTCAAAACGTTTACCGCCTACATGATCACCGGTTCAGTGATCGACCGGGCATCAAGCATTTACGAGAATACGCTGCGAGCAGGCTGCAATACGCTGAAAGTATGGTGGAAAAATGAAAATAGACTTGTCTTGCTTCATCTCTTCACTGATCTAAGCCGTCTCCTCGTCCCCAGATGCCTGCCCATATTGTATCATGGAGCCACCACATAGCCAGCATGGCGAAGCGGACCAGGGCCCGCACTGCAGGAGGAACGTGGCCGTCTTTGCCCGGCCCGGTGCGTGCAGTGGAGTGGGTGAGAGTGCTGAGCAGAGACATGACGGGAGTCCAGAAGGCCAGGAAGATAGCTGCCCCCATGCGCTCCCACGCTGTGGACGGCGGCTGATAGCAGGGATACTTTTGGCGAATACGCTCAATGTAGGATGGTGGAAAGTTGGCGGCCTGGGCCCCATCAAGAATAAGACCCTTGAAGGATCGAGAGCGGGGAGGCAGGAATGTTAGCTTATTTTGTGTTGATCGCCAGGACTTCGAGACGGAGAGAAAAGGAGGGAAGAAAGAAATTATGAGACTCACAAGATATCGTTCTGTGGGTCGAGCTTCCGGCCACCGTTCCATGGTACTGACCAGCGTCAAGACACGTATTTGATCCCCCCAGCGCTGGCGGTGGGCTGGATGGACTGGCTGCGCGGCCACCAGAGCCTCGTCGTAGGCAATTCCGCCTCCTTCTGAACCGATGATCTCGATCCATTGCGCCCACGTTATTAAGTAGGCCGTTCCACAGAGGACCTCGTCGTCGTCGACGCCGTTCTCCACTATCTTCTCCGTCGCTGGCTTGTACTCGGTGATGGAGGCATAGCACGGCTCCCGGTATGGGAATCCTGCGCTGGACATGGCCAGCCGCCAGCCAGCGACCTTAACGGCAACAGCCGCCTGCGGTGTCATGCCGCGATCTTCACGGAAGGTTTTGGCCGAAAGGTTCGATCCATAAGCCAAGTACCAGACCAGCCGCTCCTTCGCGGCCTCGGCCTTGGGCAGCGGCGAGGGTGATACAAACATCGCCGCAAAGGGGAATTTCCACGACTCAACCAACCAAAGGCCAGGGGCAAAGAAACCAAACAACGAAATGCTAAATGCTGACAGATTTATTACGTTGATTCGTCGTCTGTTACCCTGCAGTCCTCTATTTTTCTTCCTTCCCTCTCACGGCGCTATTTCTATTCAAAAGGGAAGAGGGCGTCTGCGTAACCTTCGGAGACCGTGGGAGCTTGTTGATTGATAGATAGCCTGTCCTTCGGTCACCGGGGGTGGCCTTATCACAATTGGATTGTATCGAAATGAAGGTAGGGTATCCAGGTGCGGCCGCGTGCGACCTTTGTTGTAGCTTTTCGTAGTTTTCCACCGTTTGCTGGGTTTCTTTCATTTCTCTGCTTCTCTTTCTTCCAACCGCACTTTTCTCCGCAAGTCCTCTCCCCTTTTATATCAGACACCTACACAAGAGCAGGCATGGAAGGGACGCCGTCCGCCGACGACGGCCAGCGTGAAGAGAAGCCGCCAACTACTCGCGGCACCCGGTTCTGGCTGGTATTTGTCTCGCTCTGCTTTGCATCCTTCGTTGCATCCCTGGACATAACAGCCATCACTACTGCCCTGCCAACAATCACCCGCGAGCTCCACGGCGAAGAAAACTATGTCTGGATCGCGAACTCGTATACGCTGGCGTCGGCCGTTGTCCAGCCTCTTACTGGGCAGGTCTCGAACATTATCGGCCGTCGAAACCCCATGATAGCTATGGTCTGCCTCTTCGCGCTGGGCAGTGGCCTCTGTGGCGGCGCGACCTCGACAGCCATGATGATTGCTGGGCGAACAATTCAGGGGCTCGGCGCTGGCGGCATTCTGCTTCTCCTAGATGTTATCGTAAGCGACCTTGTTCCCCTGCGCCAGCGAGCTCAGTATGTCGGTATCGCGCTCTCTACCTGCGCGCTGGGAACATCCTTGGGACCGTTGATAGGGGGCGTCCTAGTCGAGCATGCTAGTTGGAGATGGGTTTTCTATATTAACCTTCCATTTTCGGCCTTGGCCCTGATATCACTTGTTCTCTGCCTCAGAGTCCAGCACCAACGAGAAGCAACATGGAAACGAGCTTTAGCTCGCGTCGATTGGATTGGAAATGCCATCTTCATCGTCGCTATATGTGCTATTATGTACGCCCTAGTCGTTGGTGGTGCCATTTATCCATGGTCCTCTTACCACGTTCTCGTTCCCCTTATCCTAGGAGCTGTTGGATGGGCTCTATTCCATATCTTTGAAGCATCCCCTTACTGCCTGGAACCTACCATGCCCCCTCGTTTATTCCGTAACAGGACCTCGATGGGTGCATACGTCCTCTCCTTTCTTGGAGCGATGTTGATGCAGTGGATAGTCTATTTTCTAGCCTTCTTCTTCCAGTCCGTCATGAGCCAGTCCACCACCATGTCAGGAGTTTCTGTCATACCTTTCACTGGGTTTCTTATACCATCCGCCATCCTAGGGGGTGTCATCATATCCAAAACAGGAGCTTATCGCCCCTTACATTGGGCTGGATTTGCCATCATCTCCATTTGCATGGGGCTCTTCAGTACCTGGTCTGTTCGCACCTCTCGTGCTGAATGGGTCACCCTACAGTGCCTCGTAGGTATTGGCAACGGCTTCCTGTTAACTAGTATTCTCCCTGCAATACAAGGAGCACTTCCGGAATCAGACAATGCCACGGCAACTTCCGCCTATGCTTTTCTTCGAAGCTTTGGTTTCGTTTGGGGTGTTGCTATCCCTGCTGTGGTTTTCAATGGCCAAGTCGATCGCTTCCTGGGTAAGGTCGGTGATCCGGCCCTACGCGACAAGCTCGCCCGCGGTGGCGCATATTCTCTAGTAGGAACTTCATTTTTTGAAGGTCTAGGGTCCGAAAAGGGTGCTGTACAATCGGTTTACACAGACAGTCTGAGAACAGTATGGCAGGTTGGCATGGCCTTTGGATTGCTTGGTTTTGTCCTTGTCGGGGTCCAGAAACATATTGAGTTACGTACCACTCTGGAGACCGACTTTGGACTAGAAGAGACTCCCCAGCAAAGAGATACAGCAGCAGAAGATGGAGCTGCCACAACGAACGAACCAACGGAGGCAACAACCTCAAAGGCCCAGTGAGGTTTCAAACCTTGTACAGACGAACCATTGTGACTATCTTCTCGTGTTCTTTTATGAAGATAGCACCATTAACATATTAGATCCATTTATTTCGTTTTAAGCCACTGCATGCCCTAGGTTAGGTGACGTCGATAGGAACTATTATCTAATAATTTTCCCCTTTCTCGCATACAAGTCTATTCTGAACTTGATTGTACATACGAAATCCAGTCAAATAGATGAAGACACCATGTATTTTAATACTTCAAGAAGCATCAATGAAGAAAAGAACAAAATATAGAATTGGACATATTAAAACAGGGTAAAAAATGAGATTATTCGGGGGATATCAGCAAATTTCCATCATTCTCATTGTCGGCCTTGACCTTTGCCTTCGTCTGCTTCTCCCACATTTGGCTATACATCCCATTTGCAGACAGCAGTTCGGTATGGGTACCTTTCTCGACAACACGTCCTTGGTGTAGAACGATGATCTGATCTGCCTTGGTGATCGTAGACAGTCGGTGACTGGGGTAGAAAAGATTAGATTCCATATCTCGAAAGGGTAAAAAGTTACAGTTACTTACGCAATAGTGATGCTTGTTCGGCCTTTGGCTATTTTCTCGAGAGCCCCTTGGATCTGACGCTCCGTCTGGGAGTCTAGCGAAGCCGTAGCTTCGTCAAGGAGCAATATCTGAGGAGATCTGAGGAAGGTCCTTGCAATAGTTATCTGCAAAGGTCAGTCAGGTGTGAGTCCTAAGTAGATACTTATGTTAATAACTTACTCTCTGCTTCTCCCCACCGGAAAGCCGCAGCCCTCGTTCGCCAACTTTTGTCTCATAGCCATCTGGGAAGCTCATTATCCGATCATGGATACTAGCCGCCCTGCAAGCTTCATATACCTGTTCCATAGTTGCTTCTGGTCGTGCGTATAACAGGTTATAGAGCACAGTGTCGTTGAAGAGGATTGCATCTTGTGGCACAACACCCAAATGGCTGCGTAAACTTGCAATGGTCATATCACGAACGTCCATGCCGTCCACTTGGACAGACCCTCCTGCAACGTCGTAAAATCGGAACAGCAGTTTTAAGATAGTGGACTTCCCGCTACCACTTTCTCCAACTATTGCGGTTGAAGTGCCAGGCTCCACGACAAAGCTAACGTCTCGAAGCGCTGGGCGACGTCCATCATAGGCAAAATTGATATTTTTGAATTCTACTTTGCCTTTGCAGTAGTTCAGCGGCATAGCATTGTCCCCGTCCTGAATCAGGGGCTTCTCCTTGAACTGTATTGCAGTTAGCATTAGTACTGTCTCCGCGGTCATTACTAGACTTACTAGAGCCAACATTCGTTCTGCATCAATCAGATTGTTCTGAACTTGCGTGTAAAAGCTTCCAAAGAAGTTTAGAGGAGCTTGCAACTGAGCCAGATATGTGATCAAAGTAACAAACATAGAAACTTTCTGCATATCAGCGGATATCTGATAAGCACATAGTAGGCAGACAATGGCAACCCCTGCTGTAAATAGCAAGTTCTGGGTAGCATTCAGCATGTTTAGGGAGAAGAATACAAAGTACTCAGCGCCCTGGAATGATTTGATCAGTCCATTGAACCGGCTGAGTTCATTGGGAACTGCTGAATTGTGGTGAACCGTTTCGTACGACATTAGAGCGTCCGTCCTACCAGGCATTTGTTAGATCCTGCAGTTCAATGGTTGTAGAAAGGGATTAATATCTTACTTTGCAGCTTCCATTTCACGCTCACGGTTTACCATCTCCCGTCTCGCTCGGCCACGGTATTTTGCCATGTAGATAGTGACAAAAAGATATAGCCAGGTAACGGAGATGACAATCAAAGCATAAAATGCCCCGAATTCAATCAAGAAGTACAAGGCAGCAATCCACAAGTCAGCCACCATGGGGAACAGTTGGAATATCAGGCCGTCCAAAAATGTATTCAAGGCACTCCCTTTGCTTAGTGCACTCATGACCTCGCCGATCCGCTTGCCGAGATGGAATTCAAGGGAGAGGGAGAGGACATGTTCGAATGCTGAAGATGTGAGTCTTCTGTATGTTGACTGGCTGACACTGATCCACAGAAGGGCTCTAATGGATCCAATAACACCTTGCTGACCCTGTAGTCCTCTCAAGACGAGATAGATTGCAAGCTGCTTGTAAGGAATTGTACCAGACCCAAGGGAGGCAACGACAAAACCTAACTGGCGCGGTACCATGATATTGACTATGCGTTGAAGAATCAAAAGGAAAAAGCAAAATACTGCGCGGAGCTGCAATCTCCGTGAGTCTGATGGCCTATAGATGTTTCCATTAGCATGGTGAGGAAAATGAGAGATGTTTGGGGGGTTGGGTATCACTGACCAGAGATATGGAAAGAGGGTGCTAAAGCCGACAACGTAGTCCAGCCATCCTCCATGCTGCGCATCACGTACTGGCTTCGCAGCAATTTCGCCTAGCAGAGGGTCGGTTTCACCAAGTTTGATATGGGACCACGCATACATAGGCTGGAGATAGATAGCAGCCATGGCGACAAAGAATCCCATTCTAAGCATGAGAAGACCTAGTTGAACACTTTCCATCCCGGAGTTAATAGGATCTTTTCCAAATTGGAAGCAGAACATGGCAATTTGAAGTGCCTCCGTGACTGCGGCAAGTATCCATGCATGGGCGTGAGATAGGGACGGAGAGAACGGCTCATCGGGGTCTGGTAGTAGCCCAGCAACAAGGAACATTACGACCGCGATATTAGATGCCTAATAATATTAGATTATCAAAGAGAAGCAGGAGGAGGTGGGTTGGGTACCATGTATTCCTTATTAATCCACCATGCTTCTGACTTGAAGCCCTTGCTGAGGTGAAGGCCAATGATGCCTATGAAAACGACCTGAAAAGCGTTAGAACCTCTATCCAGCATTTGAGGCTGTATATTTTAACAGACCAGATTGACACATTGCAGCAATTGAAGCCAGAATATGGCTGTGAAGGCCGTTTTACGGGTCTTCTTGTACCATGGTGTTGCGGCGCCTTCTTCCTTCTTTTGCCAGAGGGCGATGGCGAGCCTCGAAAAGAGGTATGATAGATAGATGGAAGCTGGATAGGCCCAGCACAACGCCAGGGTGAGAGTGGCCACTTGCATTTTCAGATGCGTATGTTCTTGAAGCCTGTAAAGAAGCCTGACTACCAGATATTTTCGAGGGGAGAGTCCGTTTTGATAGCTTCAGGGGCATCCTGCTCGGTAGCCGAGAGGCCTCCGAGGAGCCACCGTTTCGGCCCCTGAAGAATGGATATATGATGGGATGTTACCAGCATATCTGAGGCTGCAAGCAAAGCATAAACAAGTGCAAAAATATTGAATCATCGAATAAAATGGCAGGGGCGGGACTATCGAAGCGCGGTGCGGCTAATGTCGACAAGATTATGCCGGGGATAAGTGCTGCTTTGCTCGAAAGAACGAAGCCCACTGCTCCCCGCATTGATCTCTCCACTGCCGAGAACTGGCTGCTGCGAGAGGAGATCATCGAATTGACCAAAGATGGCATACGAGATGGACTGAAGCCTCATGTACGATGTCTGAAAGTATCCAACATGTGGTTGTTGTGGTTGTTCTAACCCCTTCACTAGCATCTCTTGTATCCCAACGAATTTGCGGGTGACGCCGACCTTATCAAAGCTCTAGCAGCTTTCTTCAATAAATACTTCCATCCTCATATCCCCGTTGAGCCTGACCATGTTGCAACTGCGCCGGGCGCAGCGACTTGTTTGAATACTTTTCTCTACAACACCTGCGAGCCTGGAGAAGGAGTCCTCGTACCCGCCCCCTTTTGGAGTAAGTCCTCCTGGGAGAAAAAAGGGGAGAAAGATAAGAAGAGAAAACCGTCCTAACAGCTTGGATAGATGGATTCGACTGGCTTTTCACTGCTCGGTCGTCTGCAGTGCCGGTAATGGTTCATGTTGAGAAGAGTGAAGATACGCTCACTGCTCAACTGATCCCGGCCCTTGAAAAGGCGTACAGCGAGTCCAAAATCCCGATTAGGGGCCTTTTGCTCACTAACCCGCATAACCCCTTTGGCCAGTGTTTTCCAAAGTCTGTACTGGAGGACTGCATCAAATTCTGTCATGGCAAAGGGATTCATTACATTTCAGACGAGGTCTATGCGCTCTCGTCATTTGAGAATCCTGAGATCCCAGACGCTGCGCCTTTTGTGTCTGCACTGCAAATCGATGTAGCCAGGCTCGGCTGCGATCTTTCGCGAGTTCACACCTTCTGGAGCACCAGTAAGGACTTTGGTTCAAATGGATTCCGGGTGGTTAGTACTCTGTTTCATACTTGCTTTGATTGTGACCGTTGGTCTAACAGCTGGATAGGGGTGCAGCGTAACCCAGGCGAATAAGGAGATGCATGTTGCCCTCGCTCTAGCTTCCAACACGGAGACAAGCAGCCTTGCTGCAGTCGCTACAACAGCACTTCTCACATCACCGAAGCTGCCAGATCTTCTACAGTTGAACTCCCAGCGCCTGAAGGAAGCATATACTATCATCACAGACTTCTTTAAGAGAAAGGGTATTCGCTACATTCCTGTGAATTCAGCGCCTTATGTGTTTGCACGACTGGTTCCGAACGCACAATCCTGGGAGGAAGAAAGCTTTATGATCGGTAAGTTAAAGCTAGCTGGTGTCGTCGTCAGCAGTGGTAAGGCGTACCATGTCAATGAGGAAGAGAAAGGATGGTGCAGGATGACATTTGCGCTGGAGAGATCCAGGTTGGAGGAAGCCATTAAGCGCATGGAGACTGTCATCGGCCAACAGGAACGTAATTAGTTCGGTAGCCGGCCGGAGAGGCCCTTATACGATGTACTTAGATATATAAATCATAACACTCAGTATGTTTCGCCTGATATCCTCCGTACATCTATCTGCTAGGATACCCTTTGCCCACGATGGGAGCCCTTAGCAATAAAGATCTGCACCCGGCAAACGGCTCAATCATTCCACATCTGCTACTCCTAGCAGCGCAGTTATTGATTCTCGCCGGCCCTCGTCAGCTCCCCGGACGCCGAATAGTAGCTGCGACGGTAATTCTCACGCTGGCAGTGGCAGCCCAATGCAATCGATTTACCAACAACCCAGGACTTGCCAACCTCTTCGCGCTGGCTTGGCCTCACTGGCTCTCGGCTTTGGAAAAGACCGTTTTTGCATCTCCAGGAGGACCCGAAATTGATCTATGGAGAATAGACCGGGCCACTAGAGAAGCTATTGCATGGCCAGCTCTGGGTTGGAGGAAGGTAAAATGGGCAGTGACCATTGTGCTGAATCTCAGGGGTATCAGATGGAGCTACCAGGTCAAGAATGTTCCTCCGGTTGCAGGTTTGGACCGTATGAGCCGTGGACGATTCCTGATATGGCGTCTTACTGAGTTCGCCTTGGTTATATTGATGGCGGACCTGGTTTCACAGATGGGTCGCCGTCTCTTCTTCAGTGAACCTTCTGGAGTTGTGGGAACCCTGGACTCCAAGTATATCACTGTCAGCGACCATCGGCTGGGATGGAGCTTCCTGAAGGCCTTGACTTTTGGGCTGGGACCATACTACTTTATCAACATGCAATATCTTGTTGTCTCCATTGTGGCCGTAGCGTTGGGTATCAGTCGACCATCAGTGAGTCTCGGCCTGTTATATGGGAAACGAATAAATATACACCGATACTGACGATAACTCAACAGGATTGGCCACCGCTGTTTGGTAAATTGAAAGAAGCCACCACTGTGAGAAACTTCTGGGGTATATTCTGGCATCAAATGCTACGCAGGGTTCGTCTTTTCAGCGTCCCCTTCATGGCTGAACAGACAGCTGACAAGCCAAAAGTCTCTTAGCACTATCACCGGCGCCTTTGTCGATGTTGTAGGCATCCGCCGGGGCACAAACGCATCGTCCTACACCCAGCTTTGGCTGGCCTTCACCATCTCAGGTGTGATGCATGCTCTATCACAGTTGTTGATGCCTCGACCGGCAAACATCACACCCGGTGAGATCGTTATTGGCATTTTCCTCTTCTTCCCCTGTCAGGCGGCGATGATCACGGCTGAGGACTTCGTTATCTGGCTGTGGAAGAAGCGTCTCGGCCTGCAGACGCCACGATGGGCGCCGGCCGTGGGCTATGTCTGGGTTGTCTGCGCTCTCTGGTTCTCGCTCCCCTTTGCGGGCGATGCCATGGTCCGTCTGAAGATGGGAGAAGTGTCTCCGCTGCCCTTTACACTGGCGGCTCCTCTAGTCCGCATGATCCCGGTTCCATGAATGTTTGGCATTGATTAGATTTCCAGTATATTTTGCCTGGTCGAGGTGTGTTTCCAGTTACTCCGTAGTTGATTTGGTTATTTAGACTGCATCCTTCGTTGATACTCAAAATTAGCCCCTTTTAACTAACTCGTTAGTTAAGTTACCCCTGTTTCAAGTCTAACAAATTTCTGAAAATAAATTACAACAATTCTTTTTTGCATAAATAACTTGGCCATTAGTTAACTTGATGCTAATTTCTATATTAAGTTCTGCTGCGGATCAAGATCTCGGTCTCCGGGGCCGCCATCATCTGGGCCTCAATTGCAAAATCCTCCGGACGGTCTCCAGCGAGACGAGGCTGCGCCCAGTCGAAATCATAGCCCATCAGTAGCTTTCCGAGAACCAGCTTGATCTTGCGAACGGCGTAGAATCGCCCTGGACAGGCATGGTTGCCATAGCCAAACCTGTGGAGAGGACATCAGCCTACAATCAACCCTTCGGACCGGAGGACAAGTTACACAACTTACTGAAGGAATTTCTGGTCGATGGTAGATGCCAGCCATCGATGGCTTTCTCCTTGTTTCTGTCGATACCGCGCAAACCTGAATCCGTCGAATCGGTGGGCGCCTTCGTAGTTGTCTGGGTCATAGTGGACAGCCAGAGCTGGTGCAATGATGTTCGTGCCCCTGGGCAAAGTCAGGCCATCGTGGAATCTGAACTGCTCGTCCATCACTGTTCGAGCCACCGTCACTAGACCAGCCGTCAGCATGCTCAGTGATACCATAAGACTGGGTAATTACTCACAGGAGCCAGCGGGATGCAGTCTCATTGTCTCACGGATGAAACTATCCATTAACGCCATCTGCGAGAGGGCTTTATCAGTCCATCCTCCATGTCTGTCGATGACAGTAGCAATCTCCTGACGGATAGGCTCGAGATACTCGCGGTATGCGAGAATGTTGATCAGACACTGCGTAACTCCTACACCGGAGGCGCTGCTCGCTGCAAATGTAAGGTGAAGCATATGATATGCCTGGTGCAGAGGCTCATCGTCCCCTGGGAAAGAAGGTGGCGTGTCGAGTGTCCATTGCAGGGCGTCCTGATATTTAGAAGACGCTTCTTTATCCTGACGACGGGAATGTATATGGGGAAGAAGCAGTTTTGCAGCGGCATCCCGATCCCTGAGATGGAACCAAATGGTGAGCCTGGCGACGAGTTTCCGTAGCGGTCCCAGGTTGATGAAATTCCAGAAGATACCGTGCAGGAAGAGTGATCGAGAGAACCGGGTTGTGATCGAGAGATACTCTTCATCCCGACAGAGCTCTTTGCCAACGAGGATCCGGTTTGTTGTTCGATGGACGATGGAAGCAACGATATTAGAAACATTGAATTTCTTCCAGTCTGTATCGTCGTTAGCATTTGAATGGTTTATTAGGTTGATATGGAAGTCTTGCCAGAAACTACCCCTATCTCCCTGTCTATCGCGAAACCTGCCTCTTCAGCCAAAAGGGGAGTCAATTTCGCTGTGAAGCATTAGCATATTCCCATATAATCACTTATCTCAGCGATTAGACGTACTGAGTTGAGGATTCAAATGCTTTACTACGACATCGATCTCCGTTGTGCTGGTGTAGAGATGGCCAACAGAGGCCTCCATGTTGAGCCCCTGAACAGGAGATATTTAGTTCGGAAGTCCAGAAAATTTGGGCAGGTAAAAACATACATCACTGAGGGCCTGGAAGAAGCTCAGGCTCTTTGGGCTCGCTCGTTTGATATCTTCGAGGTATTTTGACGGAAGAACGACGTATTCATGGCCGAACACAGTCGTAGCAAAGGGCTTTCCCAGCGCTTTATTGAACTGTTGGCCATCGTCAGCGATTTGAATTATAGTCGATATGAATAGAGTGTAGTCTGACCTTCTCGTATCCTATCTTCGCATATCTAGGAAGATCAAAGCGAGTTGATTTTTGCCAGCTGAAAAAGGTCCAAAGTCGCGATTTGCCCAGGCGTGTGAATCCGAGATGGGTGCTTTTACCCCTGAGCAAGACGGCAACAATGACAAACAGCCCGAACAAGAGAGCCGTGGATAGAGGATCGGATAGATGCATTTTTATGGAAGAGTGGAATGAATGAATTACGTTTAACAAATAATCTAGTGACTAAATGGGGGTTTAATGTATCTTGTATTTATTAACAGCCTGCGATCTAGTTCGGACGCCGAAGCCATACATAGCAACATCCGAAGGATATAACACATCTCAGGCTGCAGGATTCACAGGCTTCGACCAATTCTCAGCGTTTACTTGCATCTGGACACCGCCGGCCGCAAAGGCACCCATGACAACGGCCTGGGTGCCGATTTTGAACTGCGAGCCTGCATCACCGGCGACAAATACCCCTGACACGCTGGTCTCGTTGAACGGGAAATTTGTCTTGATATGGCCTTCGGGAGTCATTTCGACGCCCAGCTGCTCTGCAAATGGCCCACGGACTTTGGTCAGCGGTCGGTGGACGACTACGCCAACTGTCTCTGAAGTGCCGTCGGTAAAGTGAATATCTAGAGATCGCTTGGGTTGATTCTGAACCAGTTTGGACAAACTGCGGGCTTCGGCCTGGAAACCGCAGGGTCCTAGGGCAGACTGAATCTCATCTGCGAGCTCAGTGTTACCGTTTGTGTAGATAGTGACGTTGGTAGATAGATTTCGGGCCTGGAAAGCAAGGTGTCTGGCAGCATGTAGATTGGCGTCTCCATCAATGGCAAAGACGCCGGCCTTTGCACATCCTCTCTCTTCGTAGCCACGGTGAACCAGGCAGTGGACACTATTGCATGTCAGTAACGATTAATCCCGGGGATGAAGATATAGATAACAATAACATACATTCCCTTGGTCCAGCATTCGTCAAATCCGGGGATCTTGGGAAGCTGATCTTCCACCCCCATGGCCAGAATCATCTTCTTCCCTAGCCAGGAACGCTGCTTGTCGTCCCAAACGCAGAATTTGCCCTCGTTTGGCCCCTCGGTGAGCTTTGTGACCTTTTCAAGCTTGACATCTGCAAACTCGACGGTGTTGTATTTGGACTGGATGTTGAGTATGGTTTGTTCGCGGAAGCGTTTCGGATCCTGGCTGTCCCATGTGGGAATCGTAGCTAGATGGGGAGCCTGGTCGTTGCGGTGGATGCCTTGATCAAACACAACCGCGGTGTGCAGTGTACGGACAAGACTGAGGGCTGCGGAGAGGCCTGCCATGCCTCCGCCGATGATAAGGCAGTCATAGAGGGGGGTATCTTGAGCGGCCATGGTGGTAGATGCTTGTATTGCAGTTAGCCAGTGCTGTAGTGTGTCTTCCAGCCTGGTCTACGGCATGGAGGGCGTAATATAGACCCGTATATCAAAGACCGGCCACCGATCGGCTTCCCAGGACCAGATGTTAGAAACCACCGAAGCCGACGAGGAGACATACAAAAACATGAGCATATTCCGTAGTCTCTTGAGCTGATAGCTCCATTAACCACTTCATCAACAGTATTTTTTTTATCTCCCACAGACACAATGGCGGCCCAGTATCCAGCTCAGATGAACTTCCTCGCTCCTCGCAAGCCAGAGGATGGGCCTACCTTCTACCGATCCGCAGCGGCAGAGGGATTCGAGACCAGCAACTTCCATCAAGAGCCGTATAGCGTCACTGTAACGGACGCCCGGCCACAAAGAGATTCCTTCCAGCTAGACACCCACGGGTTTGCCTTCGCCGTGGACCCAGAGGGCAGCCGGCCGGAGGTGTTGGAGGCCATCCGCGCAGGCGACAAGGAGACCGTCCAGAAGCTCTACGACCCGCTGGTTGAGAAGCTGATCAAAGATCACACCGGAGCATCAAGGGTATTCATATTCGACCATACCGTCCGACGCCGGGAGGCCTCTTTGGCAGGCAAGAATCCCAACGGCCGTGAGCAGCCTGCGGGCACAGTAAGTGTTTCTATCTGATATCAGACGTTCATCGATCCAGGCTGACTTGAAGCAGGTCCACTGTGACCAGTAAGTAGACGGACAGTCCTCGCAGACAGTCATCATGGTATTAATCGAGTCTACTACAGGTCTCCTCTCGGTGCTCGCAGGCGAGTCTACCAGCATCTCCCCGAGGAGGCAGACGAGCTGCTCAAGGGGCGGGCTCGAATCGTCAAGTGTGTAGTTACCTCCCCCCGGGCATTTTTCAGGGGCAAGCCAAACTGATATAACGGGTAAATAGTGTCTGGCGCCCACTAAAGGGCCCCGTCCTCGACTGGCCGCTGGCTGTAATGGACTGCACGACGCTGCAGAAGGCCGATATCCATCCGACGAAGCTGTATCGCGGCCGCTTCGAGCTGCGCGGCGAGACGGTCAGCATCAGCCACAACACCGGGCAGCACTGGTACTACCTCGACAGGCAGCAGACGGACGAGATCACCATGATCAAGATCTGGGACAGCAAGGACGTTGCCGGACACAGTGAGTATACTTTCTGTCTGTTCTTCTGGCTGTTATTTTGCACCGGCTGACATGAATTCAGTGTGCGCTCACTGCGCCTTTCAGCACCCCGAGACCCCTGAAGACGCCCCGTTGCGCGAGAGTGTCGAAGTGAGATGTTTGATATTCAGTGACGAGTAGATTTATTCGTAGCAGTCGTATGTTTGATATAATATTATGAACTCTTTTAGCAAAGTGATGATATTTGATCTTGTTGTCTTTGAGTTGGATATCTCGTAGTTAAGAAGATCCACCAGCCACCCCCTGAAAGCATTGCAGCATCACTAACTAATTAGCTAGGAATTTAGTTAAACAGTTTAGTTAAGGATTCACTTAAAGAGTTTAGTTAAAGATTCAGTTAAAGATTGAGATCAATTGCTTCTCGTCACTGAATTGTTGGCTCATTATTTTGTATTTGTAACTATTCTACTCTATAACTAGGCTATCATGCCTTCTCGTCGAATGCAATCTGGGATACGACGCCCACCGCGGCCAGAGATCCATGGCTCATCGACATGCTGGCGGCCTTGATGGGCATGCCGCAGTCACCGGTAGCAAAGCAGCCGCGGGTGGTCGTCTCGCTGAAGGGCTGCGTGGTCTTGAACTCGGTGCCCTGGGGAGACAGCTCCAGGTTGAGGTTATGTTCGAACCCGAGCACCGGGGTCGTCTTCATCGCGTGGACGAGGAAGCCCTCCGTCTTGTTGGTCCCGTCCTGCATCTCGACCTTGACGGGGATGCCGTCCGTCTTGTGCAGCTGTTTCAGGGGCCGGTTGTCCAGGCTGAGCCACTGGTCCTTCTCGACGGCCGGGCGGAGCTGCTCGGCCAGCTCGTCGTTTGCGTTCGTATAGATGGTGACCGTCTTCGCCAGGTTGTGTGCCAGCCGCGCGAGATGCTCAGCGGGCTTGGGGTTGCCCGTAGGCCCGATGGCCAGGACGCCCACGGAGTCGGCGCCTCGCTCTTCGAAGCCGTGGCAGAAGAGACAGTGGTAGCTCAACAGCCGGTTAGCACAGAAAGGTAACTATCTCGCAACGGAGGGGGACTCTCCACGTACATAGATTTGGGCCAGCAGTCGGCGTATCCAGGCAGGTCTGGGATCTCGTCCTTGACGCCCGTCGCCAGCACCAGCTTGCGGCCTCTCCAGACCTTCCCGGCGGCGTCGGTGGCCTCGAACTCGCCCGAGTCCAGCTGCCACACCTTGCGCAGGGCGACGTCCGCCAGCGTGACGGTGTTGTAGCGGCCCTCGGTGAGCTCGCGGCGGGCAGCAGCGCGGTAGTCCCGGGGCTGCGAGTGGTCCCAGGTCGAGACGTTGTGCATATGCTCCGTCAGGCTGTTGCGGTAGGCCTGCGAGTCGAAGACGACGGCGGTGCGGACGGCGCGGCAGAGGCCCAGAGCAGCTGCGAGGCCGGCTGGGCCGCCGCCGACGATGAGAAGTCAAAGAGAGTGGCCATTGCTGTTTATTCTGAAGCTGACGATGGTGAATCTATGTCGTTATCGTGGGTTGTTGAGAGCCTACAAGGGCGTTGGGCGCCTTTTATATGTTGATATCACGATGCGGCTCCAGCTTCAACTTCACCACCGGCGGCCGACGCGGGGAGCAAAAGCACCAAAGAGAATAAAGAAGACGGAGAAAAAGAAAAAGGTCGGCATGGGTGGTCCAGAGCCAGTTAAATCTCGCCGGTCTATGCATGGCAGCTAACAGCTAACAGCTACTATCTATGGAGTTGGATGTCTATGATGGGCTCGGTATCCTGATGGCATCGCATTCAGGGGCAGCTCTCCTCCTCGTACGCCAGATTCTTCCATCTCCCGCGCTCCAGACGGGCTGCTACGGCCGCTGCGACTCCCTCGCCCATGGCCAGGGCCTTCAAGAGCGTCCGCTGACCCAGAGATGCGCAGTCGCCGCCGGCATATACCCCGTCCATGCTCGTCATGTAAGGGACTCGCGCTGAGATGCGTATAGCCCCTGACTCGGTCAGCTCGAGCCGCAGCTGGCGGGCAAAGGGGTCGTTGCCCTTGAGCTGTGCGGCCCGGCGGTGGTAGAGGAACGCCTTTTCACTCTTCCCGCCGTCGAGCTGGACGGTGACGCCGTGGGATGAGTCGGCGTCCGGCTGGATCTCCTGGATGTACGCGGATTCGACGGTGATCGCTGCATCGGGGGACACTCGAGACAGCAGCTCCTGGGCCAGCTCGGGGTCTCCATGTGTGTAGACCCGTACAGCAGAGGCGTACTGGCGGATCTGCCAGACGGCGTGGAGGGCCATGGTCAGCTCAGCCAGGTCGCCCACGGCCAGGACGGCGACGGGGACCCGGCCGTGCTTCCCTTCAGACGGATGCATCAGTCTAGTTTGATCAGTATACAGGACGGTGGATTATGATATGAAGACGATTGTGAGAGAGGTAGAGAGGCATACATTCGTTGCTGCTGCCAGCAGGTTTGATACCCAGCGATATCAGGCATGACTTCTTCTGCACCGTCAGCCAGGATAAGGAGTCTGCCGGGCCAGACATTCCCACCGGCATCTTCCACCTCGAACAGACCGTTTGGTAGGCGCCTCACTTCTGTTATTCTCTTTCTCTCGACTGTGACCGGCAGTGTTTTGCTCGTTTCTTGCTGGAATAGGTGGAAGAGCTCGCGGTTCTTAAGCACGGCCGGCAGTGAGGATTCCCCTGCTTCACTACCAGGACTGGAGACAGGCTTATCTCCAACAAAAAGAGTCACTCGGTGGTGCGCTTTGCCTAGCTCCCATGCTGCATTTGAGCCTGCAGGCCCGCCGCCAATGATCAAAACATCCGCTGGTAACTCCGATTCATCCATGATATCCAATATCAAAACACCTGCCCTTTTTCCTTTCTTCCCTCCCTTGGAAATTGGCCCTTTTAACCAGCCTTATTAGTTATATGGCCAGGTTCGCTCTCCTTTTGCCCCATGGCGCTTCGGTCTCCGGTGCATCGCCGAAGGGATCCAGCAGCCGTACACCTGGCAGGAAAAGGAAGACTATATTTTGGCCGGCTCGGTGCCTCCTAATCGGTTGATTTGATCAGACCCCATCAACAATCAGCATCACATATCACAATAACCATGGTTGCAATCACCAATCCCGCAATAACCGCCGTTGAGCGATCCTCTCTTGAATCTACTCTAAAGACCCTGATCAGCCAGGTCGAGGCAACTCGGAATGCTCTTCTGGAAAATGGCCAAAGGGGCTTGCTTCAAACCCTCCACACAGACAAAGATCTGCCAGACTCTGCTGTTGAGGTCCTCGCTGGCAAGGCCATCAACATCCTACACGAGACTAAACAGCTCCTTGAGCCTGGCCATCTAGTCCTCGCCGACCACTTCCTTGGTAAGTCACTCATCTCTTTATTCATATTTATCTTCCAAGTGCTAATCTTTCGTAGGATACGTCAGTACCAAGTGCCTTTGTGCTGCCGTTGAGCTGAAACTCGTTGATATCCTTGCAAATGCCGGAGAAGAAGGCTTGACTATAGCCGAGCTGGCAGATGCTAGTGAAGCAAACCCAGACAGACTGCAACAGATCATGCATGTCTTACACAACAACCATATCTTTGAGTACGACCCAGCGTCGCATCGGTACCGCAATAACCGTATCTCAGCCCTCCTCCATACCACCCATTGGACACAGTGGCACAACTGGGTCGACCTCTACGGCAACGAGTTTTATGACATTGCTCGAGGAATCCCCCAGTCCATTCGCCGTGACGAGAAGAAATGGGGAGCCCAAATCAACTTCAATACCTCTGATGATATGTTCACCTACTTCCAGGCACAAGGCTGGTTGCCACGCCTTCATAGAACGCTTGGTGGAGGTGCTATCGCCCAAGCACCTGGCATCCTCGCTGATTACCCCTGGCATGAATTCGGTTCCCGGACAGTGCTGGATGTCGGCGGTGGCGGTGGTGGATTCCTAGTGTCCCTGCTTCGTGAATATCCTGACCTGAAGGGGGCGATCCTGGATCTTCCTCGCACCATTGAACATGCCACTACTCTCTTCCACAACTCCGATGGTGCCTACTATGACCTCAGAGAGCGTGTTCCCCGCGAGAACCTCATCGGAGGAGATTTCCTCAAGTCTGTACCCTCGTTTGAAGTGTATACCATGAAATGGGTTCTTCACGACTGGAAGGATCCGGACGTAATTACCATTCTACGCTGCATTCGTGCGGCTCTGATTCCAGGCCCAGACAGCCGTTTGGTTGTTTTGGAATCAATCCTGTCCGATGGCCAATACGGGCGTCTCTCTAGATACGGCGATATCAACATGGTGATGACGGCCAATGGACAGGAGCGCACCGAAGAGCAATGGCAGGAACTTGCTGCAGCTTCAGGATGGGAAATCTCCAAGATCTATCCCCTACGACGGTCCTGGGTTTGTGCTATTGATCTCCGGCCAAGGGCCGACTGGAAGGCATAGACCGCATGACTCCGGTGGCCGAGGGGATAGTGATATCTCGGGCAGTATTAGTCGAACTGGTATATAGAGCAGGTATATAAGCCGTGTATGAATTCACCTGATATTTTTCATTTCACTCTTCTAAATCTCGGTATCTATCTAAACAATACCTTATTATATTCAGCATGGCTACCACTAATGGAGAAGTCGTAATGGGTGATATGGACTACGACGGCCGGGTTATCATCTACATTATCAAAGGTGAATTTCGTTCCTTTTATCCTTGAGCCTATGCTTATGCTGGGGTCGTTCTATAGCCGACCAAACTTCTTATATCAACTATATGAAGCCCCTCATTCTGGCAGAAGAGCTGCAGTTCCCGCATGTCCTTTCTGTCATCGACACCCGCGATGAATGGTTCTACAGCATCCATCCAGAGAGATACGTTCCCAGTCTCAAGGACCAAGATCCAGTCACCAAGGAGAAAGTCATTGTCTTTGAAAGCACCGCTTGTCTGCAGTACCTAACCGATCGTTTTGACACTGATGGTTTCTGGACTGGTCGCACCGCCGCTGAAAAGGGGGCCATCTTATCATGGACAGCATATCAGACTGCCGCCCTAGGGTATGCTCCCATTACCACGGCTATCATTATTTCTATCATTCCCACAACTAATAACGGCGCAGTCCCACGGCCAAGTACTGGCTTTACTTCAAGAAAGGGTATCCCACTAGGGCTAATCCAATTGAACTCCCCCGTACAATTGAGAAGTGAGTCTGTATAGTTCAGCTATTTATCTGCTTTCAGCGACTGACTTTTCACAGGCTGCATGCAAATACCATTCGACAGTGGGATATCTTGGAAAAGAGGCTAAAAGAGCCAGGTCAGGACTACATCGCGCTGAAAGACCGCCCAACAGTAGCAGATTTGTCCTATTTCCCGTTTGCGATGCCTTGGATGTTCAGCTTCTTTGGAGTAGACGTCAAGGACTGGCCACATATTCAACGCTGGGGAGAGCGGATGCTGAGCAGGCCTGCAATTAAACGAGTCTTGGAGCGTGCTCCTACTTTGGGACATTAAAATTAAAGATGTAACTAGAAGAACTTCATAGATGATCTTGGAATGCTAGTGGAATTTGTCGTCATAAGGAATATTCAAGCTGTTGTATTCAATTCTGATAGAAACATACGGAAACATCGTGTCTGTGTACATTCTAAGTGGAGAGGTTCTCCCGCCTTACACACCTGAGCTGCATATCAGGGAGCGTAATCCAAGACTCTAGGTCTCTTTTCCATTTTCCATCATCCTTAGCAGATGACTCTAGGCAGCCAAGTTTGTAGTTGATTGCCAGATGTGCTAGAAGGGTCCGAATAACTAGGTCTGCCACATACCGGCCCATACACTGCCGTGGACCAAATCCAAACCTCCAGTACTGGTATCGTAGCTCCGTAGCACGACGCTCGAGGAAGCGGTCTGGCCGGTATGACTTGCGGTCTTCACCCCAAAACTCGTTGCGGATATTTAGGGCGTATGTATCAACAACAATATTCGTTCCAGCGGGGATGCAATATCCTCCAACAGTACGATCAGAAGGAGGGGACTGTGCAACTGTGAATGCAGCTAGTGGCTTGAGGCGAGCTGATTCAGATACACAAGCTGCGAGCAAGGTTGACGACGAAGCAAGGTATGCATCGCGGTTCTCAGTGGCTAGTATTTCAGCTCGAACCCTTTCCTGGATTTCTGGATGGCTAGCTAGGAAGACGAGATTCCAGGAGATGCCACCAGTTGTCACGTCCAAATTGGCAAAGAGGGCTTCATTAATTGTCTGGTATAGCTGCTCCAGAGAGATGGAACCGGAACCGGCAGCTTCAGTCATAGACACAATGGGAAGACCGCGGTTGCTTTGTCTGCATGCTCTCTCATAAGCGTTTTGGTTGAAAGCCCTCCAGCGCTGCTTGAATTGGGTGAGTTCTCTGTTTGTGGCAGTAGGCAAGTATCGAGACCAGTTCCAGCGCACAAGGCCGCCCTGTATCATCTTCTTCCACAGCCTCTCACGGATGACACATAGTTCCTGTAGTTCCGTTCTCATGGCAGCGTCGCATTCCCCGTAGAATATCTCAGCCACAATCCAGAACGGGAGCATCTTCAGGTCCTGGGCTGGCTGGATGCGTCCATATTTCAAATCACCGGAAGTGCTCAGTTCATCAAAGTGCTGCTGCGTATGGCGTAAAACCAAGTCCACATAGGAACCAGTTTTATCATGCTGGAACGGGACTTCCGTCACAGCGCGGAGGGCTTTCCATCGATCACGGCTAATTAGTCCAACACACTGACCGAGGAGCTCGCTCATAAGATAGCCAGAATTGTTGTTTTCCGCCTTGGAGTGTTTGTTGGAGTCCCTGAAGACAGCTTGAAGCTGATGTGGCTGAGTGAGGACGCTGTTTAGAGTCAGTAAACAGGTAGGTAGTACATAACCAGAAGATCCTGCGAGTACATACACTTCCGATTTCATGCCTGACCAGATTCGATAGATCTCTCCATGCTCCTTTTCCCACAAATCGCAGTTCTCAATACCTTGGAGGAACTTGGCGACATCTCCTTGACCATTAGGCCATTGGTAGGGGCAAGTGGGAAGGAGACGTTTGCCGTCCGTGGACAGGATAGGGTAGCGCCAGCGAAGATATTTCTGCGTAGAATGTTAGAATCTCTGAATATCCTAACATGCTAGAAGATACTTACGTCCAGAAACACGGACAAGACTCCAGCTGCAAAATTTCGAGTCAGTGGTGATGTGATGAAAAAGATCACACCAGCCGCGACAGCGAGAATTGGCAAGGCAGCATCTGTAGTAAGGATACCCATCATGTTTGCAAAGCGGATTTTGATTGAATATGGCTCAGTAGTCAAAGTAACAGCGCCTTGCTCCCAACTATAGGCGATCGTGGAGAGGCTGGTTTTGATTCCCCGGAGGCCGTAACAATGGCATCGGCCACCGTAAGTCCACGGCCATGTTGGCTTGTAACACCGCAACCGGAAGAGCGATTGTTCGCATATATATGCCGTCGTTCGATAGTTAGTTGAGCATGTTAAGCACCAAGACTCTGCTTACATCAATAATGGACGAAAAGATTGATATCGAGCGGCTGGCTCTTCGCTCAGGCCTGGTGGTGGGTGGTAGAAGCCGGAAGCGACAGATAACATACGCCTCGCTGGTCGCGTTTGCTTTATTATCAGCGGCGTCTGTACTCCTACGATCTGGAGCATTCACATATTCGAGAAACTGCACATCGCATCTGAGTCCCTTGGAACAGGTGTTGGCGCAGGCTCCTTTGACTGGTATGGCATCAAATCCACCATGGCCCCTTAGACACATCAATCAACTGGGTAGCCAGTTAGTTAAATAACTAGTTTAACTACATTGACTGACATGGCTGTTTAGATGGCCACAATGACTTTCCGATATGGACCCGGGCCTATTATCAGAATCACATCTACCAGGCCAACTTCACCAGCCAGGGAGATCTGTATGGCCAAGTCGACTTCCCACGCCTGCGGCAAGGACGGCTAGGTGCCCAATTCTGGAGTGCCTATGTCGAATGGTAAGACGACCCCCTGAAGCCCACCCATGGCCCCGAGAGGAGACTTACTAACATGTCACAGCCCGAGAACCCCATACACCGCTGTTAATGATAGCGAAGATCTCTACCATGAGATAATCAGAGATAGCTTCCAGCAGATTGACCTGGTGCATCGCATGATCGAGCGTTTCCCGGCGCATCTGGTCCCTGCATCATCGGCAGCCGACATCGTGCACAACTTCCGTACCTCTCCAGGAAGGATTTCCAGCCTGCTCGGTATCGAGGGACTGCACCAGATCGGCACCAGTGCCAGCGTGCTGCGCATGTATCATCGGCTCGGCGTGCGATATGCAACTCTCACGCATACATGCCACAACCACTACGCTGACAGTGAAGCCCCCTCTGCGCCCCAGCATAATGGCCTCTCACCTGCCGGAGAAGCAATCGTTGCTGAGATGAATCGGCTGGGGATGATCGTGGATATCTCGCACACAAGCTTCGCGACTCAGCGTGCCGTGCTGGCTCTCTCTCGGGCACCGGTCATGTACTCGCACTCGTCCGCCTACTCCGTATGCCCGCACTCGCGCAACGTACCAGACGACATCCTCAAGACCCTTCAGAAGAACGATGGGATCATAATGATAACTTTCTATCCCGAGTTCACCAACTGCGAGAGTGCAGACAAAGCCTCCCTGTCTGACGTTGCTGACCACATCCAGTACGTGGGCAACCTGATCGGCTACCGCCACGTCGGCTTAGGAAGCGATTTCGATGGAATGGCTCATGGGATGCGAGGACTGGAAGATGTCTCAAAGTACCCTGACCTTATCCAGGAACTGCTGGATCGTGGCGTTGGTGTTGATGACCTGGTCGGAGTCATTGGCGGTAATGTTCTCCGCGTTTTGGCGGCAGCCGAGGACGTAGCTCACAACTCCAGGCATATCCTGCCCCTGGAGGATGATATCAAGCCTTTCTTTAAGTAATTCATGAAATTCAACCCAGTGCCTGCCATTTTCATAACTCCTTCAATAGCCTTGATATTTTGTTTCTTCCGCCGCGGATTTTGTCATAACTAAAAGAATGCTAAACTCAAAATTCTGGATATTTACTTGTGCTCAGGGGTAACTAAGAAACAAGTGGCGCTTCATAGCTGACAGAACTATAACTAACTCAGGCATTGAAAATATTTATTATCACCGTTTAAGTGCTCATTATCTACTCGCATAGTGACAAGTGAGATGCCAATTAGAGGAAAGTAACTCATAAATGTTAAATTAACTACAGCAATAGAGGACTATCAAGAGCCTATTGACTACTCCTAAAGACAGACTGGAGGCGCTGGAGGATGGAAATTGGTGCATGTTTGGCTGCAGCATGCACCAGGATTGCCTAAATCACATTGACCACCAGATGGCGTACAAACACACCGGCCGTCCTGGCAGAGATGGCCACCACCGCACTATAAATCAAACTTGTTAGCACTGTAGAGTGTGGCACGGTTGTGGAGATAGTATAGGACATATATGACATACCGACAGTCCACATCTACCACAGTTAAAGGGATCAGTCTGGGTATTCGTGCATGTCCCAGAGCAGAAGGTGGTTCCTTGAGGACAGACACATTGCCCACCCTGGCATATCTTCGGGCTAGGACACTATATATTCGAAAGATTTAGTTAATAGGACCGTAGAAAGCAGGACCCTGGGGATGAAAAAAAAAAAGCCGACGTACAATTATTCCACAGGCACCACAGTGGGAGTTATCACTTTGTAAATTTCTACATGCTCCAGCACAAAGGGTTGTACCGGGGGGGCATTCACACTTTCCGTTTTGGCAGGTTTGCCCAGCTCCACACTGTACGGCGTTAGTTAGTTATTGACAATCAGCACGGCATGTGTTTTAAAGAATATACAGCATACCACAACTCCACAAGTGCCACAGTTGTTATTGTCATTTAGTAAATTTTTGCAAGTTCCAGAGCAAAGAGTCGAACCGGGAGGGCATTCACACTGGCCATTTTGGCAAGTTTGCCCTGGGGCACACTGTGTAATTGAGGCTATTAGTTACCGGCCAAGGGTAATGGTTCAAGGGTGGAATGCTGTCTATCTAGACTTACAGCTTTCCCACACGTTCCACAGTTAGCAATATCAGTTTGTAGATTCTTGCAGTTCCCAGAACAACTGGTTGATCCAGAAGGACATGCGCACACCCCGTCCGCACATGTTTGGCCATTACCACACTAGAGTCTATTAGCAGCCGTTTAAATGATAGAAATGGAATACGCACTGCTTTTCCACAAGCACCACAGTTAAGGTTATCACTCTTCAGATTTTTGCACGCTCCAGAGCAATTGACAGACCCAGCTGGGCACACACAACGACCGTCATCGCAGATATTTCCATTACTGCACTATAAAAGCCAGTGAGGTTAGATGCTGTACGTGAATATGTTCAAATTCAGCAGGAGACATACCGCCTTCCCACAGCCACCACAGTTTTCACTATCTTTCCTGAGATTCTTGCAACTTCCGGAGCAATTAGTAGATCCCCCGGGGCAAACACATCTGCCTCCATGGCAAGCCTTCCCGCTTCCGCACTGTTGTCCAGAAGATTAGCTTCAAACCCCAGAAAATTCCAGTAAAACCTACCGAAGCACCACAGGCACCACAATTGTTTTCGTCATTCCACAAAATTTTGCACGATCCAGAACAGTCGATCTGCCCAGGCGGACATATGCATTTCCCACCAAAGCAAATTTTTCCCTTACCGCACTATACACGTGGATATCAGCAACATGATAGCAATCAGATATAAATTGGAAAGCCTACCGCTGTTCCAAATGCACCACAGTTTTCGTTATCACTTCTCAAGTTCTTGCATGTACCTGAGCAAATGGTTGATCCGGCTGGGCAAACACATCGTCCACCCAGACACGATTTTCCATTTCCACACTATCAGATGAAAGTTAGGTATAAGTAGTCGTGCATATTGCGGAATAGAAACATGCATACTGTAATTCCACAGCCACCACAGTGCTGGTTACCGATTGGAACACAGTTCTTGTTGCACAACAGCTTGGAAAGTGGTTCTCTTGCTGCAGGGCCACATTCATAACAGGGTCCTTTACCCTTGGAGGCGAGTGCAATACAGCCAACGCTGAGAGGACCAAAACTGGCTATGCACCACTTCTCACAATGGTTTTGATTTTTCTCCTCAGGGTGAGAAGCAGCAGTCGAAATCCCCGTTGCTGTACGTAAAAGTGGCATAAGCAGCTTCTCGAATGACAGAAGGTAATGCCTTTGAAGGCTAAAATACGGTTGTTGGGCTCACCCACCGAGGAGTAAAAGGTTAATCAAGCGCATTTCCACAAGTTTGAGAGATAGTCCTGAGTAGGCAACTAAGGGGAGGGGTATTCCAAGAGGATATTTTAGAATGATCGTATGAAACAATCAGGTTGAAAGGAAGAGGAGACCTGGGTATTTATCTATTGTCTTGACAACAAGACTGAGATACCAGGTTCGACCAGCTTCAGGGATAGAATTAGCCATTGGCTCTTCTACTTCGTTCTTTGCGAGGATAGCAAAGATCAACCCCTTTTTCTTCCAGATATGGCGGTAGCGCCGTATGTCACTGCATAATTATGGGCCAAACATGCAGTATTGTCCCACGTTGCAAGCCCAGCTGAGAGGTATCAAGCTTCTCTCCACGTTGTAGCTTGGGTCGCAGAGCTGGTGGCGCTTCTTTGCCAAATAGCCGCTACGTATAAGCGATCCCCAACAAGCCCAGGCGGACTGATGTATCCAAGCTGCTGGGTCTCTATGCGGCCAGAGCCGAAGGACGCCTGCGGGGATTCTCATGCTGTCCAGATGGCGGTGGAGCGCCCAAGGCCATGCATCTGGTGGATATCTTCCCCTAAGGCGGGCTCTTTGGCTCGAAACTAGCCACCTGGCTGCTCAGCTTCCAGATATTCAAGCGAGCCAAACTCGACGCTGACTCGGGAATTTAGCCGAATGGCGGTCACGTGGTGGTTGGTTTCTTGGCTCCTCGGGGCCCAAAAGGGGAAAAAGCGACGACAACGAACAAACAACAAGTCAACGTTCTATTAGAGCTACCTAAAAATATAACTTCACGACACCTGCAGCAAGCTACCAAGAAGACAAAGGAAGAGGCGAAAAAGAAAAAATAAAAAAGCAGATAGAACGCTACAAAAGAAAATAACTAACTCTTTCCCGCGATGGCAAAAGCCCGATGCCCAGGCTCAGAGTGAACCGAAGGACAGACTAGATGCTGGAGAGAGGAAGCCCAAACACCACGTCTGGTTGCAGGACTTTGACGACAGGAGCATCACACAAGCTGGCTATCCTTTGTCGGATCACTGGATAGGGGACTCCTTGGACTAAAAGGGCGATTGCAAGCGGGATTCGTGTCTGCAGGAGATGTATATCATCGAGTGAAAAGCAGTCCGTGTCATACTCCATCCGCAACACCAGTTTGTCCTCTGATACAGCACTGAACTCACAGAGTAGTCGGAATTTGGCTCCATCAGTAAAGGTGTAACATGTCTCAAACCCTGGCGCGGAGATTTCTAGCCCATTCGAATGGTCCCGGCCATGGAACGTAACGACGGTCTCGAACAAAGGATGATCTGGGGCTGACGTGCGCACTTGAAGATGCTCTAACAGCTGATCCCAGTGAATTGAATGGCCCACTGACTCTTGCACCGATTGTTGTACTGCTTTAAGATATGACTCTGCCTTGTCGGTACTTCCATCCGCCGTATATCTGATACGGATTGGTAATGGTTCCAAGAAGAGTCCAACCACATCTAGCTCATCACGCGATTTCCTGTTAATATACGGAATACCCAAGACCATGTCAGTTGAATTTATGGCATCAGGAGCCTTAGTAGGCCTTTCCAAGCAGAGTGCCACTGCGGCAATTGCCAGCTGCTGGCCTGTAATGGACGACCGGCTGATGAGGCTCTTCATTCCTTGGTATGTCACTGAAGGCACTTCGCAGAAGGCGGACTTTCCACGATACCCGCGCCTACGCCCCTCCTGTCCTAGTAAATGTGATGTCGGTGGAAGTTGGCCCAGTGTTTCTGACCAGAAAGTTAGATCACAGTCGCTAGGTACACTCCCCCAGGTCGTGGTGTTCATATAAGTCATTGAGACCGGAAGCAGAGGCTCCCCATGGTATCTTTGAGATATCTCTCTCAGCAACGTCTGAAGTGTTGTCAAATCGGCGACAATATGGCTAACGGTTAAGATAAATTGGGACTTAGAAATCACAACCCTAATGGGAGCCGTCCTTGCCAATGCAAACGGCCGATTAATCTCTATCCATGGGTTGATAGTGCTGTTGACCAGCCGCACTCGGGGTGGTAGTGGACTATACTGCCGTACAGCGGATCCTGTTGCTCGAGAGTATATATAGCGCGACCGCAGAATCCGGTGGCGAGCCATCACATCGTTGCAAGCATCGGCTAGACGCACCCGATTAATGACCTTGCTATCCATCTTAGCAATAAAGTTGACATTGAAACTGGATGTACACTCGTTCACTTGGCACTTATGCCACCATTCTAACTCCATTGGAGATAGCTTTGATTCCCCAAGAACCATTTCGTCTCGCCTGAGGAGCTGCAGCCCAGGGCCATTTTTCTCGATAGCCCCTGCTAGCTGTTCAATGCGATCGTGCTGCACTACTAGGCGGAGCGGAATCTGTTGGCCTAGAACCTGACTTATGCGAATTTTGAGCTGCAGCTGCAGAAGCGAATGCCCTCCTAGCTCGTGAAAGCTGGAATGTGTGTTGAGTGAAACCTGAGGCTCGAGTCGGAGAACGTAACGAAATGCCTCGCCAATTAACTCCTCCAGGCACCCTCGTAACGGCCGTCCTGTGGGTGTAGAAGCCTGAAGGCTCATCTTGGCCAGGGCTATGTAGTCCCGCTTGCCTGCCTTTGTTGTTGGAAATTCTCTCAAGGCAAATATTTAGCGAGGGTTTGCATAAGGAGGAAGAACCTGTGATATTCTCGCTGCAAAAGCACTCACATCAGCTGTGGATGGAAGAATAGCTGCAACAAGGTGGTTGCCCTGCCTAGCCACAGCCACAGCTGTCACTTCCGATGAGGCACGAACCATCCGAGTTTCCAGGTCGTCCAAGTCAAGGCGGAATCCTCGGAGTTTAATCTGACGGTCATTTCTGCCTAAGCAAACAACGTCGCCATTGCTAGACCAGTATCCTCGGTCTCCTGTTTTGTACATTCGTTCTCCAATGCGGCGTATGGGATCAGCAATGAACCGTTCCTCAGTCTCCTTAGGCATTCCAATATAATGACGAGCAACCTGCACACCAGCGATGTATATCTCGCCAATCACGCCAGGGGGTACTAGTACGGTGTCGATTCATTATATATAACCGTGTGGAGGGGTTTGGGGGCCCAATTGTTACCGCTTGACTCGGGTACAAGCGTTTTATGGTTGCGCCGCATGTGCCCTCAGTTGGCCCATACATGTTATAAAGCGCTTTCTCCTGGGACCAACGATCACATACAGCCTGTGGAACCGGCTCCCCCACGAGATAAACCTAGATAAATACCTTCATTAGAAAACTTTGCTTCCGGGTACGGAGATCTTTTGAAGATACACTTACGGAACTCAATCGATCATAGTGCGCAGGGTTTAAGACACGCGCCATTGAAGGGGTCAAGATGGCAGAATCGACATCGCTGAGATGTGCAAAAGGATCCCCTCCGCTTTGCAAAACGAGGGTAGCGCCGTAACAAATTGTGGAGAATATTTCGTGGATACTGCCGTCAAAAGCTACCGACATTATCTGAGCGACGCGGTGCCCTGGCTGTGCGAATAGCCGCACTTCTAGATCCCGTTGGAATGCCACAAGGCCCTCATGGCTGCACATCACTCCCTTAGGCTTTCCAGTAGAGCCAGAGGTGAAGCATAGATAGGCATTGGCTTCTGGATGAGGTGAACGACGATGAGGTAGAGGAACCTCGTCCCTGGTTACCAATTCATCGGTAACAAGCAGAGTTTTGCAGGCTGCCGGACAAACTCCCTTGTTGGTCTCTGAGGGAATAAGGAATATGTTTGCTCCGGAAGCTGAAAATATGATATCTCGAGCTTCCTGGGGAAGTCCGCCATCCACTGCGCAATAGACACCCCCTGCCTTCAGGATTCCCATCATCCCAACTATCCAGTTAGAGGAGCGGTCTGCATGGGCACAAACCACATCACCTGGAGATAAATATTCTCTCAATATGCTTGCTACCCGGCTGGACTGTGCATCAAACTGCCCATATGTCATCTCGAGGCTGCCCTTCTGGATGGCGATTGCATCAGGGTCCTTGGAAGCGGCTGACTCGAATAATGTTACCAGGTCGTCTTGGACTGCCATAGTGGTTGTGAGGGTGGAGTGGCAGTTCCCAAAGTTCATCAGTGTCTCGAGATCAGCGCATCCCAGAAGTCCTTGCAGACACTCTTTTATAGACCGATGAGGTATTAAAAGGAGCTGCATTGCGCGTTGGTAGTGACGTCCAACGCCCCCTATATCCCGCCGGCTATATTTTGAGGTGTGATAAACAAATCTTGCTCCACCATTTGGCTGCACGTTGATACTAAGCGGCACATCTGTCGTCTGGCGTGTGTATGGAGCTTCTATTGGTAGTATTCCCCCTGGACATTCCGGTTCCGGTACTTGTAAGGCCATTGCAGTTGCGAAGTTTCGGGTATAGCCATTGTCAGGTGTGGTCCATTGGTACTCGGCCAACTCCATTATCTGGGTAAAGACGGCCTTCAGGAACTGTTCGACAGATAAATCTCGGTCAACCTTGACACAGAGTGGTAACGTGTTGACCAACGGACCTATTACTTCATCAACCCCTTCTAGCGGGAGGTTTCTTCCCGCCAGTACCGCTCCAAAAACGACGCTGTCTGAGTCAGTATAACAGCTTAGGACTACCGCCCATGCTGCATAGTAGAATGCGGCTGGTGTGATTCCCAGGTTTCTGACGAGCCCCTGCAGTTGTGTTCCCGGAATATTGCTTATGACATGAATCTCTTCGCTTTCTATGACAGAACAGGAAGTATCTCCTTTACTTGGAGGCGCTGGAAGCAGCAAGTCTCCTTGTGATTGTTCAAGCTGAGGAGCCTGTCTTCTCCAGTATGCATCTCCTTCCTCCTTGTGCTGTTGACGCCATAATCCAGTTTGTCTATCAACCTGTTTGAATGATGGACCAGGGCTTGGGCGGGCAGATAATCCTGCAACAATGCGGCGGACTTTGCAGAATAAAAGCATAGCTGAGTAACCATCAATGAGTGCATGGTGAACCGCCCAAATTATCGTGCTCTTGCTGGATGCGGAGTCTCTTCCTGGAAAGTGAACCACTTTAAATGAAGATGAGAACGATGAGGGAAGGCCCATGGTTTGCAAATGCTTCTGATACTCCAATTCTGAATCGACTGTGACCTCCATCCAGGAAAACTGGCCCTGACCCGGAATATCCGATTCACCGCCCATGGCTGGTATCTGGAAAATTGGCTCCGCTTCTATCACCGACTTCCATGCTTCCTTCATCTGTGGGATCATGCTTGCAAGAAACGTTTCATAGTGATAAATTATATTGGTCCCAGGGTTCTTCAGTGAGCCGTGAAGGAGAGAGGCTTGCATTTCACTGAGTCCTTCCGTGGCATGTTCATCGAGGGTCGGCTCTTGCATTGTTAGAGCAGTGTTGATAGTGTTGTCCTTTTCCTTCTCCGCTAACATCTCTACCGCCGGAACCGGGGTTGTAGCTCGTGGGGAAGACTCGATGGAAGACAGTGATGCTGGTGAATCATCTTCGCTATCGTCAGAGAAGCACGGAGTTCTCACTTGACGGTAATCAGGTTTAGAACACGGTTTGAATTGTTCAAATAGGTCGTTCAAGTTATTGCACGAAAGAACCTGGGCCACGGATAACGATACCCCATGCTGCCGGCAACGTGTTACCAGTTCAACAGCATTGAGAGAATTTCCTCCATTCTTGATAAACCCGGATCCAAGCTCCAGGTCTTCAGTGCCAACCTCCAGGACTGCTGCCACCTGCTCCAACAGCAATTGTGGAAATAGGCTCATCACGATTAACGGTATTTCTTGAGTGTTTGACTGCAGGCCACAGAGTGTACCATTTGTCCGCCATATATAGGCAAAACTTGGCCACCTGCTTACTGAACGTGGTGTTCTAACTCCGCAGGATTATCTAGAATGGTCGCTCGGTAGCCGATGTTTACGCGGCTCACACACCGGGCCTGTTGATGAGTAGTCAAGGGGGCGGGGGCTTGACAAAGAGCTTACCCTACTATTCATTTATATGCCAGTATTATGTATGATTACGCCCCATTGCTTCCGTTACACGTCAATATTTATGTCACGCATAGCCGAAAGATATTCTTTGATGTCTTCAAACAGAATATGAGGCTTCCTTACTAAAAGCGGTCTACACAACCAAAATCGTTATCTATGGGGTATCAAAGGCACCACCTAGGTTGAACTCTACCGGGTTAATTTTTTCATTGAAATATCTTACTATTGCCCACGGTTTTCAGTAAGCTTCTCGGCATTTGTTTTGTTTAAAGCAATGATACAGGTCCCGATCTTAGTGCATGACTTGTTGACCGGAAGGATTTCCGTATGAATGTTTCCATAATCCTGCTAACCCTTCTATTGCTAAGTTCGAGCCGCCTTCTCTCCCGGCTCAGCCTTCGGTCACCGTGAATATACAGAGCAAAGTGTTGCTTGTTAACGGAGCATCCAATCTTGCACTCACATTTGCTGAATGAAAACGAGGGGCATGCTGTTAAAGCTATTGCAAATTTACACTTTCGCATTATTTGCAGATTTTGTTTGATTTTTTATGGACAACATATATACAGTCTGTTTCAGACCCAAACACAAATATGGGGGTTATCTATCTAAACCTTTTCAGGCCCATTTCCGGAACCCTGGGCGGAATTACCATCGCTATCATCGGCCCCTCCCGATGGGCTAACTCCTATTTTTGTTGCTTCTGTTGGCGTAAACGTTCCAAATATATCATCTTTGTCAATATCCCCAATTCCTGGTGGTGGAAATACCATATTAATGACAGTATGGACTGCCATTGATGCCAAAAGCCCATAGGGAAAACCGAGTGCATACAGGCGATCAACTCCGACGGGCATCATGATGGTAGGGTTTATGCTATGTATGAATCCTGGAAGCAATGGAACCCATCCTACCAACCAAGGGATGGCACTCCTCCAGTTAACTCCGGAGGTATAGTAGTATATCCCATCGGGTCTAGAGTGGTAGAGATCTGAGAGTTTGAGACGCCGCTGTCGAACAATCCAGTAATCGCTGATGTGGATTCCGCAAAGGGGGGCCATGAAAATTGAGAATGAGGATATGACGCTGACGAACGTTTTTGCAGAAGCAAGCAACTCCCAGGGGCAGAGTGCCATCCCAAGAATAAGTCCAACATAACATCCGCGACGGATATTGATATATCTTGGCAATAACCCGGAGAGATCCATACCAACCGAATACCCTAGATTCATTATGTCAGAAAGCATCAGGTTTATGGCTTGGGCAGAATTTACCGTTATCAACAACTGTTAAGGCCAGTTGGGAGCTGACCAGTCCGAGGCCAGCAAAAAAGGCCGCTGCTCGCGACGTTGAGCTATAATCCCTTTGCAACCACATTGCGAGGATGGTAGGAGGGTTCCACAGAGGCTCCCCATATATCTTCTGCGTCGCAGATGATGTCAGGCACCCGAAGAGCGGCATGACAGACCCAATTATGATGAATGTGAACCATTGGCCGAAAACTTGATCGCTAGGCTTTCGCGCAAACCGTGAGAAATCCATCTGGCTAGCTGTATATCAAGTCAGCTTGTTGTGCAGCTAAATCGCGGGAATACACTCTAAGGATTTTGCCTACTAAGTGCAATCGAAACCGTCCCTACTACCGTTGTAGTCCCTTGAAGAATGCCAAACCCCAGGGCAGAACTGCCTTGGAGATCTGAAGCTTGGTGAATCAAGTCCCCAGCTCCCTTGGCGTAAGTCAAGGACCATATCATGATTCCCAGCAGTGAAGCAAAAGATATTACATTCATCCCTATCATCAGCTTTTCACTCCTTTCGGGCCGACGATAAAGCATTGGGATCGATATAATATTAAATAACGCCCATCCGATTATTTGCTGGGTGGTTACATGTGCAGACTCCGGGAGAGTATTTTGCAAGTTGTTGAATGAAGGAAATATGGCCGCCAGAATGGCTGACACACAAAGGCCGCCGGTGTATGATTGGAAGGCGAAACCAACGATCGTGAGCCCGATACGTATCACGGTTGGGACAATGGCGCCCTGGGTAATGGGACGGCAAGTTAGATTAATGCATGAATTGAAACTGCCAACCTCATCCTACTTACAAAAATACCCCAGATGACCCTTGAATAGACAGGGAATCCAATGTGCCACTCTGCCCCGATATATCCTATCATCACAGCCACGATTGCTGCAATGATTCTCCCCAATATGACCGCTATCATGGTCTGCCATACGGAGAGCGACGATGCAACAAGGGCAGCGCCAAGCTGCCAGTTGGTGAGACTGAGCTGCCAAACCGACCACCATCCAACAAAGGTCAAAGTCGACCAGGTGCGACGGGAGGGTGGCAGAGGGCGAATATCGTCATTTATCCAAACAGAGACAGCTTCATTGTTCTCAGAGGAAAGTGTCACTGCACGATGGAGGCGGCGCAACATGGTGCCTTGGGATGTTGCTTTCATTGTGCTCGAGGCCAGGGATGGGGGAAAAAAATGCACTGCCGTGACTTTGACAAAACCGATCGCCTGCTATACCCAAAAGCCGACGAGTGACACAAAAATTACTCCATTTAGAAAAAGGAAAGGGGATTGAATCTATAAAAAACGCAAGAAATAAACGTGGCGAGGTTCAGGTGCGAGGCTGATACTCCGTTGCTTCTTCGGTGCCCGAAGATTCTGGCCGGTGACTCGACGGCAACCAAAACCAAACGCAGTTCGATAACTATTATAGACGGCCCAAATGCCATGTTAGTTACTCAAGAAGGTCCGTTGGTCAACATAGTTTTTCTAGCAATTTTGTGGAACATACATCGCTCACCATGACAAGTCGTATCCGTCTCGGAATCGTTGGTCTGTCGGCAGATCCCAGTCATTGCACCAATTTCATCCACAAACTACCCCTAACAACGACTTCATTGAGCAAAGACTATGAAATCGTTGCGTTGTCGATGTCCTCGCCAGAAAAGGCCATGGCAGCTGCTGCCGCCCATGGCCTGCCGCGGGAGAAGGGTTACCATAAGGTTGACGACCTAGCCAGAGATCCCGACGTTGACTTGGTCGTTATCTCGGTGAAGGTCCCTCGTCGTACTGAGTTAGCGATGGCTGCTATTAATGCAGGCAAGGATATATACGTCGAATGGCCCTTTGCGTCCAACTTGGCGGAGGCTGAAGCGTTGGCCAAACGAGCCCGCGAGCAGCAGATCAAGAGCATGGTCGGCCTTCAAACGAGGCTTGCTCCTCAGGTTCTGAAGGTAAGTTTATGGGCTCTACCATTGGAATTATTGTACTAGATAACCCTCTCTAACGGTCAAGGCGACTTTAGATGAAAGAAATCATTCAGACGGGGGCCCTAGGGCGGATCTTGGCTACCAACCTGGTGGTGACTGATGACCTTTTCCTAAAGTTCCACGCCGACAAGAGGCATTCCCATGATAAAGAAAATGGTAACCTCCCCAATTCCAACGGCCAGAGTTCGGTGTGACAAAAGGAACGACAGACTAACAGGTCATTCTCAGGTGCAAACATCGTGACCATTGCCGGTGGCCATCTCATCGACACCATGGTATTCCTCCTTGGCGAATTTACCACTTTAAATGCCCAAACCAGTATGCAATTTCCGAAACCAGTTCTCAAAGATGCCCAAGGCAACCCAAAGACAGGTCAATTCAATGATGCCCCGGACACGTTCACCCTCCATGGTAAAATGGGAGACCAAAACATTCCAACGTCAATATGCATGTACTCACACCCACCAACCAGCCCGAATTTGTTCCAGTGGATTGTTACCGGAGAAAAAGGATCTCTAAAGATGGAAGGTCCTAGTTTGATGATTCATGCTATTCCGCCTTGCTTGTTTGAGACTGATTCCGGGGAGGGGCCAGTTCACTGGAAGGAGATCACCCTGGAAAACACTGGATCTCAAGGAGCAGAGTACCAAGCGTGGCTAGATAACGACAGGTCTCGGATCGTAACACTCGATGATGCTGTGATTCGATACCGCATGATTGATGCCATATTCAGGAGTTCCGAGACGGGGGAGTCTACATCATACAGCTATAAATAGGACTTAGGTAGCATTAGACGGTAGATATGTTAGATATGTGTGAGGTTCAGAATATATATATCAAACACACAGAATTCTCTTGGTTTATTAACTATTAGTCGAGACTATGTTACGGCCAAAAGTAGTTTGACTCAGCTTAATACTACTAATTCATCTTGAATAATTCGGACGTGCAAAAGAAAGTTCAGGAATAGAGATCTATTTTACTAGTTGTGAGCAATGAGGTTGATAATTCCAGGACATCACTTGGTGGCCACATCATCTTTGACAGATGGTCCCAGGTCTCAGATCAATAGCCGACGGCCAAGCGCCTGGCAGCGGAGCAATCCTTGCGATCTCCCAGCCAGATGAAGAAGCTAATCTTCTCCAATCACTTTCGGTACGTTCCTGGCCATGTTCAGCAGTAACCATCACATTGATATCCCCTATTCTAGACATCCGACTGCACCTACCATCGGCCAGCACCGATTCCAGCACCACCAGCCGGCTTACCGGACCTTTGATGATGCTTTTACGGATATTTTCAAGAATCTTTCGGGCCTGTTCGTCGTTCCAGTCATGCAAACACCAGCGCATAACATATGCTTCCGCGGGCACCACTTCAGTCAAGAAGTCGCCTGCAATAAGATTTTCGGAAGAGATGCGTGAGCCAACGTCTGCATACTTTCCGGCCGGTGAGTGGAATGCCTCTTGGAGGAAAGGTAGTACCCTAGGTGTATCAAAGACGCCGCCTCGGATATCAGGAAATGCTCGAAGTAGCGCGGCAATGAGGGAGCCGTCGCCACCTCCGAGGTCAATTAGGGTAGTTCCCGCTAGCTCGCCCCATGGGTATGCGGAGACCATGCCAGGGGTCTGCGCCATGGCCGTCGCTCCCATACACTCCCGTAGGCGAACCATTGTCCCATTGCTCTCGAGAAAGCTGAACATACTTTCATCCGTATCATAATGGATCTGCGCCGGAGAACCTATTCCATATTAGCGCAATGAACATTGATGAAATTTGTTCGGTCATCTAAAGAGCGGTTACTCACGAGCAGCCTCCTCATCCAGCGACTGGGGAAGTCCCCGTGCCATCTCGTAGAACTCATGGCCACAAACACTAGCCCAGCGTTGCCATTGCGTCCAATGTGATTGTTGCAACATCTCCGATGCCTCGTTGTTCCGCACAGTGTCGGTGGCCGAATCATAGTGAAAAATGCCGTTGTTAGCTAGGAGACGAAGTATCTGGCGAAGCCGATCCGGCCGAGCCTTGCTAGCTGTAGCCAGCTGCTCCAATTTCAGAGACCCATCAGAGAGGTGGTCAGCAATCCGCAACTTTACAGCTCCAGCCAGGCATTGGGTATTTTGGTACTCTATTTGTCCGTTTAGTCTTCTGGGGAGTTCCTGGTCGAAAGGGGTCGAAGCCTCGGCTTACCGAACAAATGATCAGCGAGTGCCAAATGGGCAGGTTCAAGGGTCTGAATGACCTTATTTGCTAAGTCAATGATATTGTTTGCTGCTGATGTCACTCTTATATCACCCCCTTGGTCAACTCTTCGAAGTGAAGCGAGTAATGCAGCGTTGTCAGGCTGGTCGAATTCCCTGAGCACTGTGCGGAGGGCAGCCTCGATCGTCGTCAGCGACTGCAACATCGTGAATGATAATACCAAACGGTCACAATATGTTGCTTTGGATAGTAAATAGCGACCGGAAACATCATGGATAAAACTGTGGACAAGCTCCTTAATTAGAGTAGCCTCGGGAGTTGTTGCCGGCCGCCGCCAGGTCAGCCCGGCAGCCGAGAATATGGTATATTCAACCCGCGCAAGTTTGGGGGTCTAAACCAACATATTATCATTATCTGTTTCTTTGCTTGATTCTATGGAATAATTTTCCATGGGTATTAGGAGCCATAAGTCGTCTTACAGCCATGGACAATTCTTGCGACGAACGAGCACCGTTGCTCTCTCAGGCCGAGTCAGACCTCCACCCGCATATTTCACATCCTCAAGAAGATGATACCCAAAATGAGTATACTGTGTCCTATCGAGTTCTACCGATATCATTATTTGCGTCTTTGGGAATGGCAGCCACGATAGCGACAACTATATATGCCTACGCGAATCTGCTGTGCGCTGATCCGAAAGCCTGCAAAGATGGCGAGCAAAGTGCATATGCTGCAGTGGTAGCAATCGCCAATGGAATCGCACATACAGTAGCGATCCTGATCTTAGGGCCACTGGAGCATCTAGTGAAGACGCAGCTGAAAGCAGGCCTAGCTTTATGGATCGTATGCCGAGCTGCGAGTGTCCTGTGCCTGGTTATTGGCGGTGATTCCTCCTCCCCATACCTTCAAATAGAAAGTAGGACGAAAACACCGGAATCAAAGCTGACTGTCTTGAACAAAACTAGTGGCACTTCGAAGCGTTCCAATTGCTGTATCAGGGCGGCTCTTTGAAGGCATCGCATCGGACAATCTTCTTCATTTTAACCTCAACACGATCTATGTGTCTACTGCTTCGCCGTCAGCACCAGAGACATCTCGCCTTATTGCGGCATCATTAGCCTTATATATGGTAGGAACAGCCGTGGGGCCTATGGCTGTTACTGTCTTTCAAAACTATACTGCCAGTTTCACCACAGCAGTGGCGATATTTGCTGTCGCTATGGTATACCTGATGGTGTTCGTACCGAATCCCACGGCAAAGCATGTATCATCCGGGCCAGAAGATGCAGAGTCCATCCAGGAAAGGGTATCAGACAAGTCAAGGTTGATGGTTCTGCTGTCACCATTACAACCATTCTATGATAACCCGCTGGTCATCCCCTATGGCCTATCGTTGCTGTTGTACACAGCCGTTCAAGGCCATCTTTTCCCTGTGATCATGGTTTTCGCCTCTATCCGCTTTCACTTTGCCAGCCTGGAGAATGGTCTCCTAGTCTCTGTTGCAGCAGCTTGCGCCGCACTCCAAATACTGGTGAAAGTGTACATCGCGCCGGGAATTGCCAGACTGCTGGGGCGTCAGTCGGCCACTACAAGCGACAATGCCAACCGAAACACGGTTGTAGCAGCTGTCTGCATTCAAATGACGGCCCTGGTAGCTATGACTCGAGTAACCAGTGCTGTCCAGCTGTATCTGGCGGTTGCAATCTCGGCTGCCGGGCTTGCGGTGCCGGCGTTTTTCAAGAGCCACTTCGTCTCGTTCATGCCGAACGCCTCCCAAGCCATCTCGGCTCTAACGTTCATGGAGAGTATCGGAGGGCTAGCCTCCCCTTTCTTCCTAGGCTCGTGGCAGGCTGTTTTCCCGGGTCAATCAGTGTTTTTCTTCGCAGTTGGTCTTTTGGTGGTCTGTCTGTGTCTGTTCCTGGCGGCGGAATTTCTCGTTCTCTCCAAGAATCGTAGCTGGCTACAGAGCAGAAAAGCACTGAATGACTTAACGCCGTGCTAGCCTGTACGGAGTATCCGTGGACATCCAAACGTTTGTATTCCTCTGTTGTCTAAATACTTTATTAGTTCAGGGGTTTCTTTTTTTTATTTGTTTTCGATCCGAGATCGGAAGTTGACGCCCTTTGGCCGCAGCTTCGAGAGTCTTCAATCCCGCGATATTCAACCATTTCTGGATTGCTATTCGAGTACTCCGTAGTTGAGCAGCATTCATACTATATTCTTGTGGTTGTACGGAGTACAGGAAATGAATTGTTCATTCAAAGGAGCAAGCGAATGTCAGAGCTCTCCTCCGTATGCTGAAACCATTGGCAGTGACCAGGAAGTTGATTAGACCAAGGCCAAGGCTGCAAATCTCTGTATTTAATGAACCATATATAATAGCTACCAGTTTCAAGGGTTGAACTATTATTATTGGCAACAATATTGGCTAATCGAAATACGTCGAGTGGCGTTTGAACTACCCAGAGCAAACAGACAGCATCTCAAAATGCTGCACTGAGTACCCGGTAGAGTGGCAGATAAGTGGTTCGGACACTTCAGCAACCCCCCTAGCAGGATCTTCTGCGTCACAGCCCACTTAGTTCCCTGTTGCTAACGGTGTGCTTGTTGACTAGTAGTGGTCAGAGCCACCCAGGGAGGAGCATCCTCTCGAGAGAAGAGCCCCTGTTCACACCTGCATATCCCGCAAACATTGGCGTATGCAGCCCGGGAGCTTTGTAACAATGTAGAGTGAGCAGGAGGTTTTGTCAAACCCTCCCCCTTGCCTGGCTCAATTATTACTTCCACACAGCATACTCGGCTCCGAGCCCTGTCTCTTGCATATTTGCAACTGGTCGAACACAGCATCCCTCTTAGCTCTTCTTCCCTCCCGCCGCTTCGTGTGTATCCCACCTGCAGATTGGGATCAAAGCGCAATATGACGTATTTTGGTAGCTCGAACACTGTGATCCGAACATCACCCTGAGCTCGCTTTGCCTTGGAGACGGCAAGTCGGCTACCCCGAGCTACCTCTGGCGCCCGCGAGGCCACTATGCGATCTTTCGTATCTCGAGGTACTTCGCGGTGGATCCGGAGCTTCACCGTCGAAAATCTCTGGCGGCCGGCTCAAGACATGGGATGGCAACATGGATTGCCAGCGGGCCAAACAGAGCAGCAGCTCCGGTCACGTCGTTTGCTTGCTCTTCTCAGGGGTTCGCCGGCCTCGAGGTATGTATATATACGCTTTGTAGGGTCCTGCTATAGATCACGGCCGAGGAGCAGCGAGAGCAGAGCGAGTCGACAAACCAGCCGGAGCAGACGGAACAGCCCCCCTTGCACCCTCCAGCAGCAGCAGAAGAGCAAACAAGCCCCTCCTGGCCGTGTCTGCTTTGGCTCTTTGACTGTGGCCGCTGTTGTAAAAGTGTTTCTTTGCATTGTTGCCGTCGCTTGGCCACTAACCAGCAAGTTTGGTTGACTAACTGGCTAACTGGCTAGTTAACTGGCTAGTGTTGGTCACTCTGAATAAAAAACTCCGTCCTTTGTCTTCCCCCGTCACCATCTTCCAGCATCCCCCAACGTCGTCTTCTTCCCGCTTGCTGCAGCTTCATCTTCGTCTTCGACTCGACAGTGATAGCCCGTCTGCGACCTCGTCGTGGCCAGGAACAAGCCCGAGCAGCCACTCACCGCCTCGCTGCTGGCGATCGACCGAGTCTTTTTTTTAGCCGACCTATATAACTACAGCCAGTGAACTAGCAGACTCGGCCCTTGTCTGCTCCACGGCGTTGTCGAGTTGGCTGCGCAGTTCTGCTCCTGGGATCATCAGACAGACGCCAGGAAGAGAGACGGTAAGCTGGTCCCTGTTGTGTGCTTGCGTTCTGCTCGCTAGCCGGGGCGTCTGGGGGTTGTCCTAGATGCCGCTGCACGGCCGGCGGTTGGCTGCAAGAAGAACCCCCCCTTGGCTGACGGTTTGGATAGCTTGACAACCAGCGCCTTTCAACCTCGAGAAACCCCCTGGAGACGGCCGTCGGCTGGGTCAAGCAGTGCATACGGACGCTTCGGTACCGTACAACCCGGCATAAACCTTTAGGACGCTGCTGTCTTTTTCCAAGAAATACGCACCCAGTGTCCCCAAAGTCACTCCGCGCCATCCATATATAAGCTATACCCACCAGCACACCCGTCTCAACCCCTCAACATGGCTTCAATTTCTCCCCGAGTCCGTTTGCGCGGATCCGCTGCTTAGTTTACCGCTGGTCCTGTTTGATATCTCTATATATACCTAGAACGTTCCTTTTCGTCAGTATATCAGCAGGCATCCAGAGTTTCCATACACCCTTCACCTCCCGCACCTCGAGACGACTTACCTTGAATTATTTTGAAGGAGATCATTGCTTTGACAACCCCAACAAGCAGAGGAATAATTAGGAACTATACCTTCTTTTTTTTTTTTT